AAAGCTGTGACATTCTCTCTTAAAAAAGCCATAGTCTGCTCTGTCGGTTTTCAAACGGTCCCAATTGGTCAATTCTTTCACCAAAGTGCTCAGCGGGAAAACCGCCATACGCTGCTTTTCACTTCCAGCGGCAAGCCTTCGACAAGTGCACCAGGAACTCTTGTCCCGTGACATCTCCATCAGCTCTGAGGTTTTTGCGCCAGAGCCATTGGTACACACGGCGTTCCAACGTTGCATTCATGCAGCTGACGCCTTTCATTTTTCCTTTTCTTTTTACCTGCTTCGGCATGAAGCGCTTCAGGCTTCCCCAAGCAGCATCGATGCACCGCGTCCCGTAATCAAACGAAAACGAAGGAGAACGGACGAAAACGCACGAAAACGAACGAATCGACGAACCGAACGAAACCACGCCCCCCCCCCCCCCCCAAAACCCCCCCCAACACACCTGTAGCTCACAGAAGGACAAAGTCATATATCAAGCGCACTAGATACTGCATTATTGGAGGTTATTACATATCAGGCACAGGCGCCTGGAGGCGTTACCAGCAACTACAGTTTTTAACCTCTATGTTTAGGAATTTATATCGAACCGGAACTTAGACTGCCGCGGGCATTCTAAGATGGAGATGCATTCTATGTGTTTGGAACTCAAACAGGCATTCGAAGTTTCAATGGTTCAGTATATATATATATGTATATATATATATATGAAAATATATAAATATATACATAGTTACATATATATATATATATATTCAGTGAGCTCTGCAGCAGGATTCATACATACCGAGGTGAGACATTGCCATCAATCACACTTCGAGCAAGAAAATTCAGCTTCGGAAGTCTGAGGTCCGTAATGGACTGTACAGTGGATTCTCTCCAACGAGGGAGCAAAAGATTCAGTAACGGCGCCCCCTTGGGGTTGAGCATTAGCACTTTATGTTACTGCATTAGCCGAGAGCATCAGCACTTTACTGCAAAACACTGAATGAGACAGGATTGAACTTACGCAGAAACACCAATGAATGTTAAACATCTGCAGGTACAAGATACTGCGTCCAGTATCTCATCCAACCGAACACCATAGCTTAGCACGGCTAGGTGAACGGCTGCCCCCTGCTGTGGACTGTACATGGAGAGTGAGTATAAAAAGGAAAATAGGTAGGAGTAGTGCCCCTGGAGACGGGGTTTGACACACACACACACACATTTGAGAAGAGTGCTCCGCGGAGCTGTGTTTCAGAGATGCGCGGTGAACGTTAGCCCTTTAGGCTACTGCAGTAGACGAGTGCATTAGCCCTTGACTGCGAAACATCGTATGAGACAGCGATGTTTTTGCGTAGAACCATCAAAGACCTCAGAGTTTTAAAACTACAGGTGCGCCGAGATGATCAGACTCGGTATCCCATGATTGTGATAGCTTCGTTGAGTGCGGTTCCACAATCATGCCGCACTCCCCTGCTGGACTGTGCACAGGTCGCTCGCGTACATGGGGTAGAAAGTAGGATAGATAAATTTAGTGCCCCTGGACACGGGGGTTGGGACACACAGTCAGTCGTAATTTGGCGCATCTAGAAAAGGCTGCGGTAAGGCAAGTACCATGCTGTAACATGTTGTAACTGTATCGTGGCAAGGCTTGTTTTTCGTCGACCGCAGCGCCGCGGTGCATTGGGGAAGAGAATGGCCGTTTGCCACATAGCATTGTACATCTTGTCGAAGCATCTCTTGGGCCCACTCAGGTGCAAAAATCTATTGAGTCAAAGTGTGGTTGTGTGAGTGAAGAGCGGATAGTCTGAGCCGGTGGCTGCTTGCTGAATAATGTGCCAAGGGTGTGTTGGAAGTTGGAATGCGACTGTGCGGTTCTGTGGATCGATGTGGAACCCAAATAAGTGATCATCTTCCACGGGCTCGGTTTACACAGGGTGCCCATAGAAGTCGGGGTGCGCCAGGGTGAGTATTGAGTATTGGGAATGTGTTGTGGAAGGTCAACATATCTGGTGTGGAGGGAGTGTAAAGAGGGTTGTTGTATGGAGGTGTGGTAGGCTTGATGCCAAGTGTGTTCAATCAAGGTATTTGCGACGCTGCAGAGTGCTGGGGATCGTTGGCTGCCTATGCCAGCGCCTTGGATTTGTTGGAAGTAGGTGCTGCGTGCTTGGAAGATGCAAGGGTGTAGAGTTTGTTGACCAATGGGAGGGATGTGTGCGGTGTCAAGAGTGCATTGCTGCGGGTGGTGGATGTAATGTCTGCCGACGTGTGAATGTTGTATGGGATTGCCTGTGGGGTGTGCATCGATGGTTGATGTGGTAGTGGAATGTTGAAGTGCCCATCAGCTACGTAGAAGGATGACAGCGTCTACAAGTTTCTGTTGTTTGGTGGGGCACTGCTGAAAATCCGACCGAGTCGTCATTGATAGCGGTGAAATTGATGTCTCCTTGCGTGTTGCGGAAGAGTGTGTGGAGTTGTTACCATAGGTTGGGGATGGAGAGGTGTCCGGCAAGAGTTGCAAGAGCATAATGTCGAGGGCCTTGGAAGTGGCGCGTAGCAAAGTGCCAGCTATAGATTTATAGTAGCTGATCATTGTTCCATCCTTGCGCAAATGTTTATTGGCTTTAAGAAAGGCAAATCCATGGGGGATGTGGAAGTTCTTGCGGAACCCCCAAGGGTAAAGGCGACTAAGGTGTGCAGGGTACGATGTGGCAAAAAGATGTCGGAGTTGTTCGGTATTGAGGCGAGGAAATGTGAGGAAGTGGTTTTGAAAAGTTGAGGTCTGTTCCAAGTAGTGAGGCAGCCGTGGAAGTAGTTTTGTGTTGCTGAAGAAAGGTGAGGCAATGCTGTTGGAGGGCTGTAGGTAAGCCATGGTGGCGAAGCCATTGAGTGAAGGTGGTGTGGAATTGTTGGATGTGATTTTTAGGAAAGTAGGTGCTATTCATGTTGGCCTGGAGGAGTAGTTTGATTTGAGGTGTGGTGGACGTAGGATGTCGTGTAAACTGAGGACATTGTCCGTCGTGAAGGGGGGTGTTGTTTGGGTCGTGGAGTAAGGTTCCTCTAGGCTGACTGCCATCCTTCACATGGCATAGGTTGTCTTAGATGAGGAACGTGTGTTTGCTGAGTTTGCGAAGGATGGTGAGTGCGTGTAGGCGTTGAGAGGTACCAGTATATGTAGATTGGGTTGTTTGGTGGTGTGTTGTCGGCATCGTAGTCGTTGAAAAGGTGCTTGTGAGTGGTCATGCGAATGCAAATTGCCATCCGCAAGCCTGGAGGTGTAAATGTTTTTGAATGTATGGCCACGTGAGAGCAGGTTGCCAACCTTGGATGTGGAGATGCTCGTGTGTCCAAGCCTGGTCGTAGGTGTCGTGATGTGAAAGGTAAAGTGTGCTGTAGTGGAGTAAGGTTTGTTCAGATGGCCAATAGCGCACTGAGAGTTCTGCGGATATGGGATGGTTCTGTTTGTGAAAGTGTCCCAATGCCTGGTGGCGGTGGTTGAGTGTTGTTGGTGAATGTGAAGGTGGTGCAATAGGTGGGCGTTTGCCTGGGAACGTCGGAGGTGGAGCCGGTGTGAAAGGTGGTGGACACTTTGGTGGTGATTGTTTTGAAACAATGGGTGGTCGTTGCGAAGGTTGAGTTGCCGTGTGAAGCGAGATTTCTGGTTGGTAACGAACACAGGAAGGATCAAAAGAAGGCACACTGAGGGCTGCGGAATTGCCATGCAAAAAACAACGAAATTCAAGAAAACACTAGCAGCTGAAAGTCTCAGGTCTGGTTTTGAAGCCTGGGCTTGAAATTGGGAAACATAATTGACATAATTAATGTCTGAACGGTGAGACCTGCTTGGTGTTGCCACAGGTGGTGTGTCTCGAGGACGATGCTGCGGGGGAGGAAGTGGCTCGAGGACGTTCCTTAGTGGGCCTGTTTGATGGTGCTGAGGGTGCGGAAGCAGGTTCCTTGAAGTGGTGAAGCGGCCGCCTTGGGTGTGGTTTCGCTTTTGCTTGGGTTGTGAGTGCTTTCGAGATTTGGGTGAAGCAGAGCGCTTTGGGTCCTGTGGAGTTGATATTATATGACCTTGATGGTCTGGCAGCATGTTTTGCAACCGAACTTGGTCTTGTTCAAGACTTTTGCCACATGCTTCCAATTGGGTCGAAATTTATTGTGGAGACCACTGAGAAGCTCATCATCACTGGGTTCCCAAAATATGCCAGCGCAACCATGGAACATGCACCACATGCGGACACAGGGGTCTGTTCAAAAATGTGAAGCGCAAGGTCCACTCCACAAAAGAAAAAGGCCAGCACAACCATTTGAAGCCTCAAGGTTGAAAATAGGGTCAGCATGGCCAGTCAAGGTTTGTGCCAAACAACGCAAGCCTACCCAAATCCCCCAAGTTAACGCGTGCTATTTCAAGCATGTTCAAGTGGCCCACAACGTCCATTGCAATCCATGGCGTTGTTCACGCCACATTGCGTGCAATCGTCCTTGCGGAGTCCTGAGGGCCTAAGCGCAACTCCACAATAACCGGGTCAGCTGGAATGATCCGAGCCCATCTCTCCACCATGCTGTTCAATCACAGCCGGCAGTGCCACAATTGTTTCGGACAATCAGGTGGCGCAATGTTGTTTCCCAGAGGGGGATGTTACCTGGATGTGATGCAATTGGTGGAGATGTGTTCAAGAGTTCGTGCGTAATTATCGTAATTACCTAGACATTATGCAATTGGTGGTTGGGGGTTGGATTTCACACGCGGCGCCGCTGCGGTCTGTTTGGTTCAAGCGCCTGCTGTGGCGGACGAAGGTGGAACAAAAGAAAACCAAATTCAAACCAGAGGTCCTTCAATTGAGTCCATGTGTCGGATGCCCATTCGCCCAGCAAAGTTATGTCATGTCATGTGGTATAATCTAGTCGGTATAGTGGGTTCATGGCATCCAAGAGGCGCAGTCAGGTGCATGTGGGGGGTCCTCAAGGACACCTAGCACCCTATAGTATCCTATAGTCATGGTGCGGCCTTTCCAAATCCACATAGCAGCCTTCAGACACGCACACTTATGTGAGCGTAACACTCACATGTGCCTACGCACCATGTGGCTTGCATGTACGATGCATCGCTTGCGACTTTGCAGCTGAATGTTCTTATCGGGAGGGGCTTGGCAATGCAACGGAGCGCGGTTGTTTTTTGTTGTCATTGCTTCTGTTGCCGCCGTTGCATACTGTTTTTTCTCATTGTCCTCTACATGGCCCACATGGCCTGCATACGCTTTGAGCAATCGTACCCATGGACGGATTGGTCGGACAAGAGGCGAGACGTTCAGCGCGTCAAGTGATACCTCTGATTTGGGCGATGTTCCCGAGTTGAACGATACGGAAAATGAAAGCAGCACAGAGCATAGGTCCGTGCACCGGTGCTTGAAGTGTCGTTTCCTGCTTTGGACCCATGATTTTTCCGAAAGGGATGACACAGAGCTTATCTTGGATTTTGCGGCTGCGCTGACATCGTCGGGTCACAGAGTTCTATTGGAAAGTCCCGTTGACGGAGCATCTTTTGACCAACTGGATCCCTCCTACGACTTTGGAGTTCGGGTCAATCCTCGCTTGCAAAAACTTCTGTCAGGGGATAGCAGCGATGTTTGGGATGCAATTGGCGGTGGCTCTTTTGTATCAGCATTTGTGTCGTTTGTGTTGTTCGGTGTTTGCTCACCTTGTTCCCCAGTTGGGGCCCAACAAGATACGCGGGCCAAATACATGATGGAAGCGTTGGGAACAAGGCAATGTGAGTCCTAGTCCCTATCTAGTCCAATTACAGTAAGCAAACATATATTGTTACGCGTCACATGTGAGGTACTGTGTGGGATGCGACTGCCGACGAATTTCCTCAATTCATTGTGTTCTTCTCAGACACCTGGACACCCTTCTTTCAACAGCTGCAGCAGCCGGAAGATTCGGAGGTTCGCTTGGTGTGGTATTTCTACCAGACGCAGTGTAGTGTGTTTGGTCATCAGGACTGGGGGTGCAAAAGGAATCCAGCAATGACATATCAATTACATGTACTCAGGATGAACCCTATAACTGTAACTGCCCAAAGTGCCATCACAAGTCTCCACTGGGACGGGGGACAACACAGGTGTTCAAGAAACAAATCAAGCAAGCAAACCCTTACCATATTTTCTGCATCTTATATATTCAGCAATGTTCAGCATACAGAATCTTGAGTTATTATGTAGCATCATATACAGCGATGTTTGTTCCACACAATGATTGAAAGAAACCCATATCATCATGTGTTTGTGTCTTTCGAGGGGCCCATCTTCGACCGGATTGGAGATGCACTGGCAAAACCTGACAGTGTGGTTTTCTTATCCGCCGTGGAGCGAGAGCGCTGGTCCAAGCATGACCACGGGCACTTCAAAGTTCTTGGCCCGCTGGTGGTGCCAATTGCCACTAGTTCACATATGTTCAGTTTTTTGGAAGCTGCAGGAATCGGAAGCTACGGGAATCCTTGAGAAACGAAACAGTTGCCAAACGGCCGAACCACCTCCAAGATCCATCAACATTTTTCTGCAAGAGGTTCCCAAAATTGAAATATGTTTTGTCCGGGGGGGTGGAGCACGCAAGCATGTGTTTTCTTCTGATATATAAGTTGTTCTATAATGTGACTGTTGTAACTGTAACGGGTTTTGTTTGATTTGGCGAGCTTGCCCCTGTGAGCGGCCATTGAGGCTACAAATTGGGCCAAGGGTGACAAAGATGCCTTTCGAAAAGAAGTTCGGCATCGCCACAGCATGGGCGCTCGTGATTTCTTGGTCACAGTTGTGCAAGACCCCTGTCCACATGCACAAGCGGAACGAGTTGATTTCTGTTCATCGAAAATCATAAAGCAGCTGAATGCAAACTACTTGTCTTCGTGGCAGGTGATCATATTTGGGAACGAGACACGTACAAAGTGTAAGGATTACTTGCTCTTGCCGTTGCCAAAACCAACGGAACTTCAAAAATATTTGGCCGCCGCGGACCTACATGTGCGGCACTCAGCCACATGTTCGAGTTGTGGTGGGTTGCTTACTGTAGATTGGTGGTGTTGGTATTGTATCCCAGCAAGCCATGTTATGAGGGCACAGGCAATTCAGCTCATGAACGAGACAGCGAGACTGCTAGGTCGAGAGAGAGAGAGAGAGTGTTGCTGTGACGCATCAGTCCAAAACGTGGGATTGCAGAAGGAACAACAATTGGTTGATTGACACCTCCACCACGCGCGAGTGGCCTCCAACACTGTCATTATGTCACATTGACTGAGTATGACTGGGGTATATGATTTTGGATGGTTACCATGCAAACTGTTCATACAGTAACTATATATATATGAATTCTTTTTGTTTGCCGCGGCGTCGCACAGATGTTTGGGATTACTTCAGATCTATCCGGCATGTCGTGTTCCATTGATTTACGTAGTGTTTTTTGTTTCATGATACGTTCTGCACGCAAAAAGCTAAAGGTGGCTCTTGGCATTACTACTCGCAACAAGAAGCTACTAGTAGCAAAACACCTTACTACTAGTAGCAAGAAACTACGAGTAGCTCCCGGGCACCTGTCATGATCCCGCACCAGGTGAGCTTAACAGCTTCAGCCGTTGCCACCGACAAACTCCACGCACGCTCCTGGGGTGTCCCTGTCGTGCTGGCTGAGGAGTCGCACCACTCGCCGCTTGGCAAGTGGGTGCGAGTGGGTCAGTGTCGACGCTTTGCAGTCAGATGTCCTGCAGCTACTAAAGTGTGCGGCATATATTGCAGTATACTATAGTATACTTCAAGATATATTAAGTAAAGGAACCAGTTGAAGATGAATTCGCGTTTGTTAATGGGTTTTGCCATTGAAGCCACCACGTCACAAATCACCAAACTTGACATAGACAACGGCCACGCGGCCACGCCTTACACAATCTCAGACAGATGTCCTTCGAGAAGCTCTTGGGCATCAAGTTGAGCATGAAAGTCAAGGCGCTGCGTTGGGAAGCGTCAATTGGCAGGTTGGCTGCGCAGTCGAGAGCAGAGACAAGTCGAGCTGACATGTCGCGCCTGCCCACTTTCTTGAGTGAACCGTCACCGTCCACAGTGGTGGCTGGGCCTAGAATCGGTATATTCATCCAGATGTCAAACATGGGAGTATGGCGGGAGCTGAAGCAATGTGTTCAGACCGTGCTGCATGCCACCAGCAATAACACAGTTGATGTGATCTTGACGGCAACTCGGGACCATCAGCACATACAGTTGGCACTCCCGGTCTTGAGGCAGTCGGCCCCTGGGTCGTTGCGGTATGACATGCTTACCTTTGCCCGCGAGGTGGGGGCTGACCAGGGGGTCTTTCTACAGCAACTACTGTTTGCGCGTGAGATGGGGCTGCAGCATGAGATACTTCTCAAACTGCACACCAAGGAGGAGCCTCGGTGGAGACAGACGATGCAAGACGATCTTTGCGGGAGTGTTGAAATGGTCCGCGGTATCATCGCGCAGTTCGAGACAGACCCCTGGCTTGGCATGATCGGCCCTACAAATCTGACCTTTTCGAAGGACGGGCCAGTTAGCCAAGTTGCATTTGGGCAGGGGAATGCTTTTAACGGTGCTTCAGTGAAACAAATGAAACGAGTCTGGTCCCTAATGAAGGGAGAGTTGAAGGGAAGTGAGAAGCTGCCACCAGAAGCATGGTGGACCATTGTGGCCGGATCTTTCTATTGGGTGAGGGCCAACCTGCCAATGTGGGAAAGCACCTTGTTTCCGAACATTGCTGGGATTCTGGAAGCCTGCCAGCCCAGCAACAACTGTTTTGCTTCTGTTGGCTTGGAAAGGCTTTTGCCCACCATGGTCGCCGCGACTCATAAGGTGCTTGCTGTCCCTGCAAATCACTCATGGTATTAATGCTGATGTGGAAGAGGAAAATTCGGCCCTTCTTTTCACCCGGAGGAGTTCGTTATCACATGTAATTGGGAGCCTGATGAGGCTCCTAGCTGATGATGGCGCCTTCACATTTGGGCCAAAGTTGCTCATGGTGGTGGTTTGCTTCGCAGCTTCATGACCTACACCGCGATGTGCAAAAGGCGCCTTATTTGGGGGGCACTCCTCTGCAACAGTGTATTTGTGTGGCCGGTAGCCACAGCCAGCTATAGTGTTTTTACATTCCGACTTGTTGATCGAATCTCAAGTAGTTGTTTTATAATCAAGCAATCGGAAGTTTCATCACATTGTTTTTGGATGACCTTGGGAATTGAACCAAGAGTCTCGTGTCTTCAGATTATAGCTCATAGACTGTCATAGACCCTCCTAGGACTCCTAGCATTTATGTGCAAGTGCTCACATGTTTGTTTCCAGGCGTATACGTGGCCAAACCCACTCCAGTTTCATTGACCGTGGACGTTTCATCTTGCTTTGACGTAGGAAGCGAACCAATGGGCTGCCGGCTTGGGTCACAAGAGACCTGAACCGGTGAGTGAACGTGCAGTCATCGCTGCCAATATCATGTGCCTACTAATCAGCAATGAGTCCACCTTCATCGGCTTATTTTTTTAGTGACACGGCGCAGAACCTTTGCAGCTATGGTGAGCGTGTTACTTTTTGCTGCAGGTGGTGGTTTACACCCAAAATTGTCCAGACACATCCATGTGAATCACGCGCTGGGCACTGCCTCAGAAACAATCCAAAATCTGGGGGCTAGAGATTCAAGCTGCATCAACCCCGGTAACCCGGTTGTTTGCCATGGCATGCTTGCGTTCCAGCTAAGCTCAGGGCCCAAATCCACCCCAGCAACCTGACCTTAGCCCAGTTTGCGTTCCATCCTTTTCAGGTGCGCTCACCACAAGTCGCCAGCGTTTGGCTTGACAGCGAGCTGGTCCGCCCGCCAAACTGTGAACCACAAGATACAGAAAGATAAGAAATATATTTGGGCCATAATTCGAAATAGTGCTAGCCGCAGACCGTGTGTACGCGGATAATAGTTTGCCAAATGCTCCGTTGGCCGAGCTAGCACTCCGCGGCTATGGCACAAGCTTAAAGCTTTGAAGCTGACTTCACTGCAACAGTTTGACTAAATTAATAGTGGGTTCATGATGGTTCCTGATTTCGGGCGTTTCAACCTTGTAGTCATTGTAGTGTAAATAGATGAAAGTTGTCGCAAACTATGTCTTGCCTCTGGAAGGAGGATTCAGGTGCTTCCTCAACAACTGAGGCAGAATGTTTTTCTCAACAGGCTATACGAGATTCTTTTGAGGATGCCCATGAGACTAGGACTGTTTCTATTATTTCTCTGGTAGAGCTAGAAGCTCGGACCGCCAACATTCAGAGCAGGGACCCGCCGAAGATACGACCTACAGGCCGGGCGAGTAGGCCATGATACGCCGTGTCCTCGTGTTCAATTTTTGAAGGGTAAATATGGCTTGCGCAACTAACACCTCCCATGCTGTGGCATGTGTCTTTCAAACATTCACCAGCACATACTTACTTGCATATCACAGGTTGGTAGATGGCTGCATGGTTGTGGCAGGCGCTGCAAGATGCTCCCGATTCTGGGTGGCGTCGCTTTTGCTTTTGCCACTTGCAGTGGTTCCGCTGTTTGTCTTCTGGTCGAAGGAAAAGGGCGGCAATTTTGCATTTGTGGCGAGTTCGTTTCCGACGGACAGCGACAGCTCCGCTGACGAGAACCATCCAGCGGGTGTGGCTGACAATGCTCAGGAAATGAGCTTTGCACAAAAAGCCGCGAGGCCATTCAGACCTCTTACCATTCTGGCTCAGCCAGACTTGTTTTTTCTACTTTGGACCCACGACTTTTCGATCAGAGATGATACACAGTTCATTTTGGACTTTGCGTCAGAGATGGCATCTTCGGGCCATAGAGTTTTGCTGGAAAGCCCTGCTGATGGTGTGGTGCTGCAGCAGCTAGATCCTGCTTATAATTTTGGCGCCAGGGTGAATCCTCGCCTAAGGAAGATATTATCAGGGCAGAGCAGGTCTGTGCAGGATGCGATTGCCGGTGTCTGACCTGACATTTTAGACGATCTTTCGATGTTCTTGAGGTGCTGATTTGGCTTGTTTTTTGGAGCAAAGCGCATCAAAGCGCTTTTTTTACATGATACGAGGAAGTTGTTATGGTAAAACCTCATGAAACCCTGCGTGAAAGCGCCTCCTACATACAACATCATACAACACCCTTGCAGTCACCCTTGCATAAGCAAGTTTGCTTGGGGAAACAAATTGGTCAAAACTTCGCAAAGGTATGGATAACGAGCCACCATCCCTTAAAACATCTTAACACAGAAAGAACATGGCTGATTTCTTTCCTCGTCGTGTATGGCAATATGGCTGAACTGCCTAAGCAAGAAGAACGGGAGCGTACAAGAAATCACCATTTTCCAAACCAAGTGGAGACTCTTGTATGGCTACCATACCGTGCGACGTCGTGTTATTTTTCGACATCTCCGCTGAGGTGATGAGCTTCCACATGTGATCGTGTTCTTCTCAACTCTGTGGACCCCCTTCTTCCTCCAGCTGCAACCTGATCGAACCACCACTGACCTTCGGTTGGTGTGGTATTTCTACCACCCAGAAATTTGTGCCAAGGAGCTAGGGCCTAGTAGGGCCGGGTGAAAAAGTCACAAGCGTTCAATTTTTCTGAAACTTATATATTGGAGCCCAACGGTGGCAATGTGACGGTTTAGAAGAATGGGCTCAGATACCATGATAAGCTAACCAGACTCAACAAGCTGCAGCGTTGCAATTGCAACCAAGCAGTGGCAGATAGGAAACAATCCACGACTAGGAGCGCTGTTGGGTTTGTTGCCGGAACGAGCGTCGCCTTGCAGACTAGCAAGTCTTGCTTCAGGAGATCATGTCGAACCGGAAAGAGGTTGGAGACGCCATGGCCAAGGTTCAGCGCGTGCTGTTTCTGACTGATGCAGAGCGGAAGGCTTGGTCGCAGCATGACCTTGGGCACTTCACAGTCTTTGGGCCCTTCGCCATGATCGGAACGGGCTTGGTAGCTTCACTGCCATGCATATAGTCATATTTTGTGTGTCCATCCAGTCTCTCAATGCCGCGTCAGGCATAATGAGTCCTTCACCACGAAGACCGGACTTTTGTGGGACTGCTTGCGATAGCTTTTGAACCCCATCGGAGTAGTTTAAGAGAAGCACCAGCCAACCAAACATTTAGTAGCCCAATGTAGCGCAGAAGCATCAAATCAAGTCATATTAAGGCAGCAAGCCAGCCAAGGTCTCCTCCAGCCAGAAAAGTGCACTGCGAAGTGAAATTCGGAGTCGTCATGGCTGGAATCCGGACACTTGCGTGATCATCCTTTTGTTAGACTCGTGTGGAAGTCAACCAGAAGTGGATTTCATGGGCAGCAACATCGTGAAGATGTTGAACGAACGGTTTGGGTCCTCATGGTTTCTCGTGATGTTCACCAATGTCATGATGCCGAAACCAAAGACAAGTCACTTCCTCATGTTATCCGATCGAACTGAACTTGTGAAGTACTTGGCGGCTGCAAACTGGCATGTGCGGGCCTGAGTTCGTTTGTGAGCCTTAATTGCCAAGGTGGGGAGAGCAAAGCGAACAGAAACAGCACAAGTCATTGAATGAAGGAAAAGTGGAAATGCACCTTTTAAGGTCTTGATAGGTTTTGGGGGCTTCCCATGGCTTCCCCACCAATATCAAGGGGGCACATGAAGGTACTCCAATTGGAAAGTTGTTGAGGTGACTCTTGTTTTTTCGCGCCAGGCATCAAAAGGATTGCAGCCGGCAAGCCAAATGTACAGAACTTGGCCATTGGGCCATCTATACCTCAAACGCTTAGTGGGAAATAGGGACAACTATGGACAACTAGTATCCGCGCAGGCCTCCCGCAGAGTTCTAATTGTCTGCCATCCAAATAGTAGTTGAGCCATATATGAGTGCAAAATAGCGAGAAAAGGGGATACATTGTGAACCGTTCCCGCAATGTTCTTTAAGTTGTGCCAACAACTTTTCAAATGGTGTATATTCAAGGGGGGTGTGCCACCCCCTCTCAATATACATTTCCCGGTGTCCACATTTCATTCCCGGGGAAGTGATTTTATACATTGTTTATACATTTGTTTGTTTAAACTTGGAAGTTGAAGTTGTAAGTTTCATGATACGACGATTATGGATGTCCCCCTTTCATACATTTTCCTGCAAAAATATGCTTCCTCAGGGTGGTTCCCGCCTGGCTTTCATACATTGCCCGAGAAAAAACAATGATTTCCAAAAAATATCAAAATGCTTCGACGCCATGGTTGTTTTTCAATTTGCACTAGGGCTGCTAGAGTTGCCTGGGGTGGGCCGTGGCATTGCAGACCCCCCACAATACAAAACAACCAGCAGACGATCGTCCTCGCCAGAATCTTTGCAAACAACACGATTACATGATGTCCCCAACCCCCTTCCACACATTTCCTTGAGCAAAGTATCCTTCCTGAGGGGGGTTCCCACCCCCAGTACACTGCCGCAGCCGACTCAAACATCTCAAACAAATCAACCTGAACACCAATCACCAAGGGCCTGGCCACATCACATTTGCCCGCCAGGGGCGGGAACTAAAGTACCGCGAGAGAACCTTCTGCACACTCGTGTGCAGGCATGGCCAACCTAAGTGGAAGATTGCAGCATTGCACCATATTGCACCCCCTTGGTGTGCATACATTTGCCCTAGCTTCTGGACCTGTCCCTCCCCTGGTTCATATATGTTGGTAGATTTTTGTTGACCCTGACCCCCCCCCATTTCATACAATGGCGTAACATGCATTTGTTACGTGCATTGTTGAGTTTGTTCCCCCCGTGCATTCATTCAGGGCTTGAGCCAGCCCCTGCCTTTCAGACATATTCCTAAACCGGTGTTTCCAGAAACACCGAGGGAACAAGAAACATAATATAATTACATGTATATTTGTATTGAGACATCCGTTTTCTCTATGTTACACCCCCCCTGTTCGAAAATTGTTGTTCAACATCATTTGCATACAACAGAATGTATGAAACCACCCCCCTCCCTTTGTGGAGATAAACCCCCGTGATCCACCAATCGTTTTGCACTGAAATTGGGGGCACATACCCTAACAGCCTGTAATGGATTGCCAGAATCAGAAGCGCGCTCTCTTTTCTGCAAAGGGTTTCGTCAAGGCCTGTTTGACACAAGCGACAGCATGCAGCCTGCATGTGAATGAGAATGCCTGTCACCAGGGTTTGACAATCTTATCAGGAACCTCAGGTGAATGAAGCCGCTTCCATGTGGGTCAGCTGTAATGTGTTCAAATCAGTGATTTTCAGGGTACTGTATTTGTTATTGATGCCTCAATGCCCTGGAGATCCTTCCCAGGTTGGTTTCACAAAACTGCAAAAACAGGAACTGCAAGTCTGCAGTTTGTCACCTGATTTGTGGGATCATGGTTGCATTCAGTCACGGCATTTGGTTTACAGCTTGCAGCTTGCTTTGGATGTGAGGGCAAGGCATTATTGTCAGGCATGGGTGCACTGCTCGCTTGGGCACCATGAAGGTGAGGAGTTATTTTTTTTGGGGGGGTGAATTGCTAACGCCCACAACAATGAACTGGTGAAAAGCTGTTGACTCCGGTGGACTTGTGTTTTCTGTATTGGTCCTTTCCTGCTGCATGTGTCCTGCTTTTGCTGTGGTCTTGCGGCATGCTCCATGATTTGCCCAAACCTGTTGAAGGCATTGCTTCATCGTTTGCTTTCTACTAGCTACTAGCTTCTGTTTGATTGGTTTTTGCAGGTTTCCGGTCTTAAATTGCGGTGTTATGTTGCAGTCCTTGCATAGGGACAATAATTATCCGCGGAGGTGCCAAGGTTTGATTGAAAGACATGGAAGGCATTTCGGGTACTGTATGAGCATTGCAGTAATCACAGTGCTTTTGCATATCCACTTGCATTGCGCATGGTAACACCAGCGCCTAGGTGAGCTGGACACCATCCGCTTTTGCCACAGATGCCTTGGTCGCCCGGTACTTCGGACTCCCGGTGCTCGAGCGTCGCGGGCATGATGGACTGAAGCCTGGAAGATTTGTGGGCACCGGATGGCAGAGAAAGTTATGTACAGCTTTCTTGCCTAGGTAAATTTTTGTGTGTCAGTTGTAAAATGATACCATAATTGTAACTTGTAACATGTGCTTTGTTTTTTTTGTCGCGGCAATTTTTGACTTGTGGATGTGGGTTATTTGATCCCTCACCGACTTCTGTGACATGATGCAACCCTGTCGGAGACAATTCAAGACGACTGTCAAAGTGCCAAGAAAATAGTTACAAGTTACAAGTACCAAATGGGATTTGCCGTTGGCTCCTGGTAACAGCATGGAGTGGATGCTCCTCCTTATGTTTATGTGCAACCAGGCTATGGTGAAAAAGACAAGCACACTCAGCTTGACCAACGTAATCAATTGTTTTAAGCCTCCAACCTTCAAAAGAATTTCCTGCAAGCGGGCAAAATTACAATATGGCTACTGACAGGGTCCTACTGCTCCATGCAGCATATAAGTGTATTTTTGTTGATTTGTCAAGTGTTGCTGGATGGACGATGGCGGCGATGGCGGCGCAGTTTTTTCCAAAGCCACAGGCTTGAACATCGGCAAATAACAACTCCAATGTGGTGAACCCCTGCAGCCTAGAAGCCACTGCTTGGGGCACTTGCAGTATACGTTTATATGGTTCATTTAGCTCGGCCCTTTTTTCCGGTCCTTTCTCCTTCCAAGTGTTTTTCCCTTTGAGAGCAGTGCTTGTTTAGGATTTCCTCCAACTATCACATGATCCAGAAGTCTTTTGAGACGAGCCTGGCCAAGATGATGAAGATGACATCCAGCCAGCTCTCCGCCATGAAAACTCGAGACAAACTGCAGGTGCAGCCGAGGCTATTAGCTTCAGTTCGTCGGTCTTATTTGCTCGTTTTGCTTCGAAGATCCTGTACCGCCCCCCCAGCTCATCGAATTGGCCTTTTCATCCAGTTGATGTATCCGGGTGTGAGTGAATCCTTGAGGAGGTGCATTGACATGGTCCTGCTTGCAGCCGACAGCACAAATAGCACTGTTGACGTGATCCTCACCACGACCAAGCCACATATCTCCTTCACGAAATTCCTGGCCACCGTGCGGAAGTCAGCTCCTGCGTCCCTGCGATTCGACGTGCTTTCAAAAGCCGATCACAGAGGGAGTGACAACGGGGTGTTTCTGCAGCAGCTCCTTCTCACACGGGAATTGGAATTGGAGCACGATCTCATCTTAAAGCTGCGGACAAAAAATGATTCTGGTTGGAGTGAGATGGTGGCACGTGACCTTTGCGGAAGTGTTGAAACAGTCAGTGGGATCATTGACCAGTTCATTGGAGACCAAACCCTCGGCATGATTGGACCCACCAACTTGACCTTTACAAAAGATGGGCTGCTCAACAATCACACAGTTGGTCAGCAAAAAATTGACTTTGATGTGACGTCATGGAAGCCGATGAAAGGCGTTTGGTCCATGTTGAGCAGAGAGAGGCCTCGGCTTCCGCCATGGGCTTGGACATTGGTGTCCGGATCATGCTACTGGGTGAGGGCAAACCAGTCACTTTGGGAAGAATATCTCATTCCGTTTGCCCCGAAGATCCTCGAAGGATGCAAGCCCAGACAGGAGTGCTCTGCTGTAGTTGGCCTAGAACAACTACTGCCAACACTAGTTACCATGAGGCAGAGGATTGCCGTGCCGTGAAACACTGACGGCATCACCGATTAATCAACAGTTGCTCGCCGAGTTTCACTTACAGAGGCGGCTTCAGTCAAAGCAAAATCAAATGTGGTTTTGGGGTGGCAAGCGGATGGAAGTGGGCCCCTGTACAGTACTTGCAGGGCGGCAAGTCAGTGGGCCCCACATATGGGGCTGCCAGTGTTATTGACATTGACATGGCATTCGACACACCTCAACTGCGAGGGTCGCGTGGCAGCTTTCCCCGCCGGACCTCAACCGCAAGGGTCGCGTGGCAGTGTTCCCCGCCGGACCTCAACGTTCCCTGCCGGACCTCAACCGCAAGGGTCGCGTGGCAGTGTTCCCCGCCGGACCTCAACGTTCCCTGCCGGACCTCAACTGCGAGGGTCGGGTGGCAGTGTTCCCCGCCGGGCCTCAACTGCGAGGGCCGTGTGGCAGTGTTCCCTGCCGGACCTCAACTGCGAGGGCCGTGTGGCAGTGTTCCCCGGCGGACCTCAACTGCGAGGGTCGTATGGCAGTGTTCCCGCCGGGCCTCAACCGCGAGCCAGAAGATATGCCAGAAAGAATGTCAGAAAGTCAGCAGGATTCAGAAGGTATGCAGAAGATATGCCAGAAAGAATGTCAAGAGATATGCCGGAAAGAATGTCAGGAGATATGCCAGAAAGAAGGTCAGAAGATATGCCCGAATGAATGTCAGAAGAGATCCAAGAATGTCAGCAGAAGATACGCCAGAAAGAATGTCAAAAAAACGCCAGATAGAATGTCAGAAGATACGCGAAAAAGAATGTCAGAAGATATGCCAGAAAGAACGTCAGAAGATATGCCCACAAGAATGTCAAAAAATTAAACATTGCCAGAAGATATGCCAGAAAGAATGTCAGACGATTTTCCAGGAAGAATGCAAAATCAATGCCAGAAAAACGTCAGACGATATGCAAGGTGGAATGTCAGAAGATATGCCAGAAAGAAAGCCAAAATCATGTTAACAATGTTTCAATACATGCCAGAAAGTTTGTCCGATTGAAATGTCATGGTGGGGATCACTCAAAGTCATTTTTTACCCAGGTGAGGGTTGCTAGATCTATGTCAGCTGTCTCTGGCCTCCTCCTCCTCCTCCTCCTCGTCCTCCGCGCCGTCCCTCAACTGCGAGGGTCGCATGGCAGTGTTCTCCGCCGGACCTCAACTGCGAGGGCCGTGTGGCAGTGTTCCCCGCCGGACCTCAACTGCGAGGGCCCTGTGGCAGTGTTCTCCGCCGGAGCCGGGCCTCAACTGCGAGGGCCGTGTGGCAGTGTTCCCTGCCGGACCTCAACTGTGAGGGCCGTGTGGCAGTTTTCCCCGCCGGACCTCACGTGGCAGTGCTTCGCGCCAGACCTCAACCGGGAGGGCCGTGTGGCAGTGTCCCCTGCCGGACCTCAACTGCGAGGGTCGCGTGGCAGCGTTCCCCGCGGAACCTCAAGGTCGCGTGGCAGCGTTCTCCGCCGGACTTTAACCGCAAGTCAGAAGAAATGCTAGATAGAATGCCAAAAAGATCCAAAAAAAATGCCAAAAAGATATGGCAGAAAGAATGTCAGAAGATATGCCAGAAACCAGAAGAGATGCCAAGAGAAATGCCAGAAGATATGCCAGAAAGAACGCCGAAACAATGTTTCATTTCAATACATGCTAGAAAATTTGTCAGATTGAAATATCATGGTGGGAGTCGTTTATTTTTCTTATCGTTTCTACAGGGATTGTCTCGAGAAGGCCGGCCCAGGGGCCCAGCCGCTGAGTCATATCCTTTCCAGGTCAGTACGGACCCGCACCTTTCGCAACAGTTGCTGAGGTTTTTCTGTGAAGGGGTCTAGGTAGCAGTTTCACCCATGAGGTCCACCATGCGGACGGTTGCACCCAACGTCCTGTCGATGTAGCCTGCCCACCTTCCGACAGCAAGAGCAACTTGAAAGATTTGGAAAGCAGGTGGCCGGTGCCCATGTCATGTCACTGAAGTCCAATCGCATTGCATGTCCTGCTGCACATCAGCAGTAGCCCGAAAGAGAGCCCGGGATTCATGATAGCATATGACAGCCAAGTAAATATAGGTTATCCTGCATTAGACCTCCGAGTTGCCCCACACATGACAAACTCCGTCATATTGCATCCCAGGCATTGTAAACAAGAACATGTTATACTGTATGTAAAGTTTGCATTGCATTGTGGCATGCGATCAGGGCCGGTGCATGGTCGTCGCCACACGGAGATCCTACTGTTTCCTGCTGTTCTTGTGTTTGTTTGTGCCTTTTGCGGTTCTTCCACTTTGGCAATCCACTCAATCCACAAAGGGAACGGTTGAACTGGTGCTACATGCGAAGCATGTGGCAGATGTGGTTGATGAAAGCAGCGATTTAGACATGGCTGAGGGCGGCGAGGAACAGGAGAACAGGACCACTCCGTTGAGCAAGACTGGAGAGGATTTTTCCAGCGTGACGCAGTCGAAGATGCGCTTTCTGCTTTGGACCCATGACTTTGACAGAAGAGCTGACACTAGTTTCATGCTGACCTTTGGAGCGGAGCTGATGGCTTTGGGTCATAGAGTCACCTTGGAGAGTCCTGTCGAAGGGCCGGTGCTGGACCAATTGGATCCATCCTATGACTTCAGTGTTCGAGTCAACCCTCGATTGCACAAGCTCCTGTCAGGCGAGAGGAACAGTGTATGGGATGCTATCGGAGGCAACTGGCCAACAACTCAGCATATAATTACATGTTGCTATTGTTTCTCGTGTTGTTGAGGGGCAGGTGAATTGGTGGGAGTGAATGGGCATGACAAAAGAACCAAATGCAGATAATGCCAAGAGAACATCAGATGTTGTTTTGTTATACTATTATATAATGTTGTTCCAGGTTCCATGCCGCATCAATTGAGGAACTGTGTGGGACGAGAGTGGTGACGAGCGTCCACAATTTATTGTTTTCTTCTCTGGCACTTGGGCGCCCTTCTTCCTCCAGTTGGCCCACGAGGATCCTGATGTTCGCTTGGTGTGGTATTTCTATGACTTCCCCACCTGCAACACGCCCAAGGACTCAGGGTGGGGTAGCTGCCTTACAAGCCAATGAAGAGCTTTTGTATTGTGGAAGACTGGGCTAATAATGGTCTCTCACTGGTCACTGGTCCTCAGGCAGGTGGAGGACGGATGATTTACATCTAGTTTTAGATCATAGTAGATTAGATCAAACCATCCATGGGGATCATTTCTGATCAGGTTATTGGCATTGCCATTTATCAATGCTCAGTGATGAAGTGGATCCTATCAAACATATAGTATATGGTCAGTACCCCATGATGACTCAACAAGATGATGTCATTCCTGTTTATTGGAGGAGCTTTTGAAGCAGCAAATTGGAGATGCAATGGCCAATGCTCACCGCGTTGTGTTTGCGAGCCTCGCCGAAAAACGAAATTGGGCAGCACATGACCGTGGTCACTTCATGCTCTTTCCACCATTTGCGCCAGTAGCCGGGAACTTGGTCATATTGTGTTGTGGTCATACGTTTCTTCTACACTCATGTGCTGCCATCAGTCGTTGCGGTTGCGGTTGCCTTGCCGAGGTTGGCGACGAGCAAATCGGTATCAGCCGCAAAGATATCTTGCACCAGCATAGTTTAAAGGCAAATGTTTTTATGGTCACAGTGTTCTCAGACTCATGTCCACGTGGGCATGGTCGAAGAGAGGATTTCATATGCAGGGACATTGTCGAGGAATTGAAAAGCAAGTTCGGGTCCTGGTTTCTCGTGATCTTCGGGGAGTGGAGTGGAGCAAATTGCAAGGGTGCCCTGCACCTCTCAAACAGAAGAGAGTTTGAAAGGCATATGGCAGTTGCTGACCTGCATGTTTGGACCTCAGTTTCATTCTCTACACTAAACGCACTGTATGCAATGCACCCCATGAATCAGCTGCATCAGCCAGCGAGTAAGTTCTGAAGAAATGCTTCGTCACTGGAGAGAGAGAGAGAGAGAGGGAGAGAGGGAGGGAGAATTCATTTTACATGCATTCTTGTCACTTATATATAGGTATATGGGGGATTTCGGCCGAACAGCAGCATATATAGGTCCACTCCGGCCCGGCGCATCCCTCAGACATCCTCAGAGAACTATGTTGGGGACTATGCTCTATGATTCACAGTGGTACAGACTTCAAGATGTCTTCAACATGCGGGTCCATATAGTCCACCCTTTGGGAATTGTGCGATCTACTCTGAAGCCACTGTATTATACACACTCTTCCACTTCCATGATAGGGAGTTGGAGGGCAGCACATTGATGTACATAGTACCTCCACCTAATTACCTGCTTTCTTTGGCAGCGATGCCCACTAGACTTGCTAGAACTGACCACTACGGGCAGCTTGACCCAGACAGCAGCAGGTGAGCTTGACCTCAACAGCATTTGCCACAGATGTGAGCTTGGCCAAATCATTTGGGGTCCCTGTTCTCATGGGCAATGATGAGGATGGCATGACGCCAGCGAAGCTAGGTGCAATTTGAATGAAGGAGAGTCGTATGACGTTTGATATTCCACCAGGTTCTCTTCCCACAATTCCTCCCAAGGTCCCAACCTTGCAAAAGCATTGCTTTGGGGGGCGTGTACCTGGAGCAGTCAAGTTTTCCAAGAACAAGACCAAAAGGATGATGCAGGATCAAGAACATGCAAGATTGCACAAGCCCGCTCCACACTCAACACCCGCGCCTTTCGTTCAAACATTCTTTGGGTTTTGACTCTGACGCTGGAACCACTGGAAATGCACATTTCTTGCAATTCCGGCTTCACTACGATTTCTTGCCTTCACACGTCCCAACTGTTTTGAGCTGGGAGGCTGCCACGAATGGGATGGGCCCCTTTGCATGGTAATTGTTCCTAATAGCTTCTTGTTACTACTAGTAAGGCACTTGTTACTAGAAGCGATGCACTTGTTCCTAATAGCTTCTTGTTCCTAGTAGCGATGCCAGGAGCCCCTAGTAGCGTCCTTGCTCCTAGTAGCGATGCCCTTTGCTCCTAGAAGCGAACATTGCTCCTAGGTTGTCGGTGATTCTCGCAAAACTTCCTCAGGACCTCCGAGCCTCGTCAAGAAGGCCATGAAAGTGCCAAGCCGCTGCAAAGAAGCTTGGCCAAGATCTTGTCCCTCAGCAACCGCGAGCGCTCGGCCATGGGCGCCAAGGGGCGCTTGGCCATGCAGGCGTTCTTGGCGGAAACCCGCCCGGCGCGAATGTCCGGCTTGCTGGCGCGGCTCAGACGTCCGAAAGCGGCCTCCGCGTCGCCAGGGCCGAAAATCGGCATCTTCATCCAGTTGTTTGATATGCATCCATGGAAGGAAGTGAAGAAATGTGTGCAGACAGTATTGGAAGCTGCTGTCCCTGGCACAGTGGATCTCATCGTGACCGCGACCATGCGCCACCAATATATACATCTCATACTTCCAGTAATAAGGCAATCTGCCCCTGCATCTTTACAGTTTGACATCCTATCATATGCTGAAGACAGGGGCGCTGATAATGGTGTTTTCTTGCAGCAACTCCTCCTCGCAAAGGACTTGCTTACGGACAACGATATCATTCTGAAGCTGCACTGCAGTGGTGGGGGACATCAGGACCAGGTGCGGAACCTGAGTATCAGTGATCTCTGTGGAAGCATTGATTCGGTCCGTGCGATCATCGACCAGTTCAAAGACCCCGTGCTTGGCATGGTTGGTCCCACCAACCTGACCTGGTCCAACAACGAGCTGACCAGCCATGTCGCTTTCAATCTCACGCAGGGAGCCTTCGACTCCAAATCGGTACAGCGCATGAAAGAGGTTTGGTCATTGATGAGTGAACAACGGTTTCCACCGCGTACAGTTTGGAACATCGTTTTCGGCTCCTTCTACTGGGTGCGTGCAAACCTACCTGTTTGGGAAGAAGATCTAGTTCCGTGGGCCCCAGTGATCCTGGATGCATGCAAGTCAAGGAAGAAATGCTTAGCAATAGCACGCGGTCTTGAAAGACTTTTGCCCACCCTGGTGGCTACCACACACAAAGTGGTGGCTGTCCCTGTGAGCAAATCCTGGCCAACATGATGCTCAGGCATGGTCTCACCAAAAAGGCAAGCTGGCGGCAGGGTAGTTTAGAGCAACTGCTGTTGGAAACATTTGGGCATGCCTTGAATTCTCAACAAGGGTCCAGAATTGTTGTATAGTATAGTGGCCAGTCGCAAAAATCATCCACCAGGGAGTCGCCACACCCGCGGGCTGCGACTATTGGCATGCGACATACAGAATTTATAGTTTACATATTATATGTTACAGTAGTCACATCAAATCATTGTATACACATATATTAGAATATATTAGATGGCCACCGGACTGCTCAATCCCCTAGAGTTCGTCTATGTTCGTGTTACGTATAGTAGTTGCTTTAGCTTTGGCTTCTTTGCTTGGTTGTCAGGCAGGGCATCCTTGTAGGACATTGCAGTCTAGGAGCGGAAAGGTAAACCGCAAAGTGGGGCCCCTGACTTTTGACAATCGGCACGTGTGGTGAGTTTGGGAGGAGATCCACGCCCTATGCTCAACTGCCGCGTTTGCCTTGCAGTCCCACGTCAGTTGCGGCTGCACTCATTGACCAATTCAATGTTACTTCATGTTTGGCTCGAACCTGATGCTTTCAATCTTAGCTTTAGGCTATATGCCACTCACCCAGAAAGACGATGGTGGAGAAGTGCCATGGGGTCCTTGAAAGTGGCTTTGGTACAAATACAGCAAGCAGAGGACCAGGAGAGCTGCAAAGAAGACGTCCTGCAACATGCTGCTGACGTGATCATGGCAGCGCCTAGCGCGGACATTTATTTGTTGCCAGAGCTTGCACCCACAGGCGGAGGGTGAGGGTGCTCGGCTTCCGTTCTGACCAAGTGAGCGGCAGGTCGGCCAAGGGTCCCGTTACTTTTGTGTGACCCTACTAGGAGCATTTGTTCCTAGTAGCTTCTTGTTACTAGCAGAAAGGCTAGGAGCCCCTAGTAGCGTCCTTGCTCCTAGTAGTAGAATATGTTACTTTTTGTTTGGTTGCTTTCCCAGCGACCATTCCATGATCCTTCATTCACTTAGGGAACATCCTCAGGGAAAGATCACCAACACCAGTATCCCCCACTACGGAAACTGTTCAGCCGTGTCAGTTTCTATATGTGTGTGCGAAGGCTACAACCAGCATGTGTTTGATTCCTTGGATGTTTGGGCAGAAGCTGAAGGGCCAGATGCTGCCACATGCCAAGTGCTGTCAACAGTTGCGAAGGAGCGTGATGCATTCATTTGTTCCCTTCCTGTGAAGTGTGGGCAGTTTTCCAGTTGATGTCCCCAGTGCCATGGTTTCTTTAACTCCTGACCACTGACCGGGCGAAACCGTTATGTTTGGGGCGACGTCTTGGCAGGTTGGCACGAAACCTGCCCAGCAACGATGTGTTCATTCCCATCTCCCAGCATGTTCCAAGGCTACGGCGTGCCATTTTGTCATCCAGATGGGGGCTATACCATCCGTCAAGTGGTCCTGGACAACTCTGGCGCTGTAATTGCCACCTACGATAAGATTCTGGGACGTTATTCTCCGACCCTGTCCCCCACAAGGTAGTCCAAAGGTCACTTTTGAAGAAGCCAGCAATTCTTTTAAATTCTTGTGGTTGATTCGTTTTGGGCCCACGTGACCTTCGAAGATAGGCCGGACAGGCTGGAACAGACTTTCAGGCCAACCCCAACAAGTGGACTCCCTTCGAGTGAGCGACAGTGCATATGCAGGTACAAACATATCCATTTTGAGTTGCTGCAGGTGTTTCTCGTTTTTCACCGGGCGTGATTGAAAGCCAATTTGCTGCCCAGGATTCATTTATGCCACTTTGGGGATGGTCGTGAGACCAACTGGTTTCGTCCTGGAGAACATCTGTGCTTCTTCGACTGCCGTGGCTTCCGTGCCTGTGCTGATTTTTCGGCAGTGGGAGGGTGAGATCCTGGTAGAAATTCACAACTGGTTCATGCAAAGGTCATGTGCCACTACTGTGGCGCCCCAGCAAAGAGACCGACTTGTGGGATCCTTGTGAAAATGATGGGGTTGGATCCCTGATCTACATCTAGAAGTTGGACACATGTCGCTGGCTATTCGTTTGTTTTCGTACTTGGATAGTTTAGGCGACCCATTTTGAAGAGATGCCGCCTTCACATGCGACTGAGGGCTGTGATCCATGCGACTGAGGGCCACGTTCCAGTGGTTTCGCAGATTGTGGAAGGGGTTTGCATGGGGTACGTAGCCGTCAACGTGTGTTTTGCTCCAATTGTTCAGTGCCGTGGCAAGCCTAAATCACCACCCAGCAAATTCCGGTGTGTGCTTTGTCCTTTGGAAACGGTAGCATGTTGGAGACAAAAGGGTATGGACCCAGCACATCGAGGACTTGGAGTGTTGATTTGTGCGGATATGCGCTACACAGAGCTTTGTCGTGAACTGGCCATTGGCCGTGGCTGCGATGTCCTGCTGCACCCTACGGCCTTTGCACGCGATGTGACCTTCGCAAGTTGGCCGTCCTTCGTGGAATGCCGAGCACTTGAAAACCAAGTGTGACCTGGCAGACTTTTGTCTTGGGGTGGTGGTTCAATACGTTCCGACACCTCCCGACGTCCGAACAACAGTGGTGTAACCAATTGATTTCACAATGACTTCACCAATGACAGTTCGCAAGCTCGCTCAGGCGGTCAAACCAATCACCTGTTAGGGAAAGCTGGGCAATGTACGGTGAATGATGCTCTCTCGGATTCCAATCGACTCTTGGAATCCTAAACTCTTTCTGGGTCAACTGCGTGGTGGTCCAGTGGTGCCCTCCTAAAGCTGTATATAATTGTATATATATATATAGCATGTAGGTCAGTACTGAGATCATTTTAGATCATTGATCTGTCATGGGTTTGTAGAGTTGTCAATGTCTAGTTTCTTCCACATGCGAGCAGGTTCCAGGGTCTCGTTGCTGCACGTTAAATGATTCATTCAGTTTTCCCTGCAAGCACGGGGTCGCTATGTAGCCACCGAAGCCCCACTTGGCCACTTTCGCAGCACAGGTATTGGGCTGCAGTGAACTACGCGGGGGACCACTTCGGAGGTTCCATGTGGTGCCCGCCATGGGTGGATGGAGTGGAAAGAAGCTTGGCGAAAGGCCATCAGCGCCAGGAGTTCAAGCAATGAGGAGTAGGACAAATATGGTTCAGTTATGGTTCATGAAGTAGTCTTTCATGATGGTCAACCGCAGCTCGGAGCACGTCTCTCACGCTTCATGTACGCAAAGGCTAAGGGCAACCAGTTGCAAAATGTTGCAAACGCAAAGGAAAGGAAGGAATGTCCGTCCTGGAATGTCCTAGAGCCCCCTTGCTAGTTGCAACAGGAGGTGGCTCAATGTTGACATAGATACTCTCGCTGCCAACCCGATTTGTTTGAAAAGCCGAGGAAAGATGTTCAGACTGGGGAGCCTTGGACGCTGGGGCAAGGGTGTGTTGTACCATTGAGGTTGCCGACAGGACCTACTGTACTGTCCACATGCAATAAGTTCACACCATTAATTATCATCACAGTGTTCGTTGAAAACAATGGGCTGTTACGATGGATTTGACAGAGCGGATTCAGAACCCACAGGATTGGTGCACGTTGGTCCTACGTCTTAAGTCGCTCTAAACGCGTCACCACCGAGTCGTTGCACAGTTAGATGCCGAACAATCCACAAACGCCATAAACGCACCCAGTAGACCTAGTGTTTGAGGGCGGGCCCCGGCAGTGTGAAGCGTCAACAGATGCTGTCCACCCACCAGGCTTTATGGTGGCGATGTCACGGAGACGGAAACATGGTCAGCAAACAAGGGTCGGAGATCCTTTATTCGACAAGAGACACCCAAAAGCATCCAAAAGCAATAGGAAAGTGGTCACGTGACTGGGAACGCTAATTAAATAAGTATATAAATATAAATATATATATATAATATGTTACATATTGACCACCATGACTACCTGCCCAAATCACCACTTTATGCTTGCCGATGGGGTGCACTGGGTTGACAGTCCTAACTTAAGTAAGCAAGCAGCTGCCAACGCCACAAAACATTAGCAATATTAATATGTGTATCAAAAGGATTGTGAGCGCAGACCCGACAGCTCGATAAAGGTCCCAGCTCCCGACCAGAGCTAGGAATCAGGGGTGGCTTCGAAGGTTCCAGGCTACTGTGCAAGCTACTTCGTATGTGTTACATCGATCCACTCCACAATCGGCTCAGGATTGAGGAAGCGGTGGTCGTGCATGAGGCCACCAAGGAAGAATTGGCTTCAGTGCGGAGCTCCTTCCCTTTCCTCGCGGCGCGGAAGGATCGGAGCGACTACTTATCGCCTCAGGATCGGTGAGGTGGGTGAGAGCTGTAAGTAATAGGTCCTTCTTGATGCAATGTCACAGAGTCACACGGCAAATCTTAGGTTTCACTGTGAAATTTTGTGGTTTGATCAAAGGACTCCGGATTGAACCTATCGCCAATGTCCCCAATCTTACTACTGTAGCCGCTTTGGCGCAAATGGTGCGGCTTGAGTCAGAAAGGATTCCACAGAGGGCCAACTGCACATGTTGCGCAGGTGTCACTTGTGGTGCAAGATGCAGCTGCCATGCTGAAACCCGGCAAAGAATCAGCTGGTCGGTGGAAAAGCCTACAGTGGCGAATGAGCTCATGTTGAGAATTATGGTCAGACACCTTGAGCCTGCAAAAGGACCAACACTTGAAGCCTATATGTTTGCTCACATATGTATTTCTTGCGAATTCAGAAACTCACTGCTCGATTGCGCTCGTGGGCTGCGTGTAAAACACAGCACTTTTGCAAAGCGTGGAGTTTGTGTACATCATCACCGTGGCTCACTAGCGTAGTAAGCCTGGTCGACTTGAGCAGACATTTGTGTGAAAAAACAAGTTGAAAAAAACACAGGCTTCGCAAGGTTTGTTCCAAGACGCTCGGGAACCACTTGCATGGCTGAGCACATGACGTGATGCTTCACATACACTAGCATAGGAATCATGGACCGCTCAAAAGCTCAAGGTGGAGGTTGCGCTAGTTCAACCTGCTAGTGACGATAGTGCGGGGTCAAAACCCTCCATAGGAGCTTCCAATGATGGTTTGGACTTCACTACGTTGCGTCGCCGCACATCAGACCTGCTGACAAACCTACCCTCAAAGACCTGGGAGCTGCTTGGTCATCGAGCCTCAAAGCTCAGAGTTCTCCTACAGAATTCAACAAATGTGGAATTCAAGAGGAACAATGACAAAGTCGACAAAGTATGAAAACGTGTGGACCGATGGGGACCCTCTTTGGACCCTTTCCGATTCCTTACAGTTTACGCACCAAAATCACGCCAGCGCCATGGCACTCCGCCCCGGACCACGGCGCGTGTCCCGCACGCGGCGGACCCCGGCGTTTGCCGGACGGACTGCACTGCGGGCGGCTCCGGCGACGCTACACCGTGGCTGGGATCGGAAGGAAACCACGGCCCCTTGCATGGCTGTAGGCTCTGAGAATGACAGCGATGACCATGCAAGAACAGAAAAAGAGAGTAGTACCAACCCACCATCAGCCGTGTGATCGTACAGGTGAGCCAGATCTGGGTGCGGCGGTGACCTGCTCCCCTTCCGAACCCCTAACACATCCTAACACTTTGGTGGTGGCTTGAGTTGCAAGTGCACGACTCGCAATAAGGGCCTGGGCATTGGCGTCTTCTTTTTTTTGATGTGTTTTGCTTGTTTTGATCTTTCAGCAGCAGCGCTCACCTTCTTGTTACGAGCAGGCACCATCCCAAGAACCCGTCTTTATCTTTTGTGTTGCTCGATCAGGCTTCCCCTTGCGCTCACTACTGCGACGAACGCCGCTCAGAAGCGCGGTGGTGATCCAGCTGGATTCGCCCACAGGGGAGTTGGGCACCACGGCACGAGTCTCTGAAGCGTCGGAGGAGAAACCGAAGCGATTGCAGAGTTGGGGAGGTGGGACGTGCGACGCAAGTTTCGGGGGCCCGTTCCTTCGGTGTGGGAGCAATAGCTTCTTGTTACTACTAGTAAGGCCAGGAGCCCCTAGTAGCTTCTTGCTCCTAGTAGTAAAGCACTTGTTTCTAATAGCTTCTTGCTCCTACTAGTAAGGCACCTGTTACTAGTAGCGTGGCACTTGTTACTACTAGCTTATTGTTTCTAAGCTTGGTATATTTAGCCATTGATCCATTGGTAGCAGTACATTCTTGTTGGGAGACTTTTGCTTCACGCATGAAGGTTAGTCAATGACGCACACTGCATCACACTGCCAAAGTGTGCACAAGTGAATGTACTGTACTGTCGCCGGACTGCTACCATACTCGAGCTATGTCCCATCTTTTCTGCTTGTGCTGCCTGGATGGACCACTTCTTCTCAATGCAGGTTTGTTCTTTTGTTGATGCAAGTTTGCGAGAAGGGGATGGCTTCACCTTTCAACTTCAGATTTTGGTCAAGGGAGATGCAAGTGCCAACGGATTTTGCATAATTGAGCCATATCATCGAAGGTTAAAGTTTGAAACAGGTCGGAAAATCAAGTTTTTAATATATACGGACGAGCATTGTTTCCTTGAGATCAATTGACACAAGTCTCGTGTTTTGGAGACGGCACTGTTTTTTTTCATTTTCAGATCTAATTGCGCAAGTATTGGGTCAAATCACTTTTTTCTCCAGGAAAGTTCTTTTTTGTTGGGCTTGGGAGAATAAATCACATCAAATCACGTGCATATTCGTGCATGGTTTGCCTGGGAATAGCACCGCTGATTATTGCTATGCAATAATTGACTTGTAGTTCTCTATTGATTTGAACATTAGATGTTGTTGTCTTGGGAGGTCATGGGCACCGAGCGCGCTTCGGCGTCCAAGTGCCCTTTGTCATCTATGCCACATGTGTTTTGCCACCGGGCAATGAGTTGGCCACGGCTGGGGAAGACGGCACAGCTTGCATTTGGGACGCGAAGCCAGGAGTTGCTTCAGCCCCACTTTTGGTCTTGTTTGTCCCGTCCTCTTTGGGAGACAAGCCTTGGGCTTGTTAGAACCGAAGTTAGGTAAAGACAATGTGTATACGGTATAGATGTATAGGCAACCAAATGCACTTTGCAAGGATCATACATAGCATATTGCAATACATTCCTATTTATGTTGCATGTTTTGTCCACACCGACTGGACCGTCGTGTGTAAGGAAAAGTGCCACGAAGATCCATGAGGTCAAAGCTCATGAGGGTGGGGTGTTATGCATTGAACCCTTTCCCAATGCCATGTGCTTTCTCACCGGCGGCTGCGATGGCTTTGCCCGAGTTTGGAGATGTGGGAGCAAGCCGCGACTGAGTCGAACATCAGACGAGGTTAAAATCGGAAAACTCGCCATAAATTCATGTCTTTAAAGATCTTTAAAGTCCCACTTAAGTGACTTTGCAGGTGAGCTCACTTACAAACCAATTTCATGCATTTGGGGAGCCAATGCTATGGTTGTGATAGGAGTGTCAGTGCTTGTTTGTGCATGGAGCGACTTTGAGCCTTCAACCTTCCCATAGGTATTCCACATCGCATCACATCGCTATCAATCGAAGCATATGCATCGCCCCCACATGTCTTCTTTGCGTAATTTGGGACATCGTTTGGATCTCGGGTCTCCAGCACGAACGCCGTGAAGTGCGCGACATTCCATCGAGTGGTGGTTTCCTAAATTGCAGAGGATGTATTATCACCACCCCCTTGCAGTGCTTGACCCCCCCAGGGGGGTCAAAATTGTAACTTACATTTTTTGATTTCACAACAATAGCATTATATAGCCCTATAGGTGGGGGGGGTGAAAATTGTAAGATCTAGGGTTGAGGTAGCCTATGTGAGGATGTTACTTTTTTTGACCCCCCCCTCAAAGAGGTCTTGGCCTACTTATGGAGACTTTGAAAGGAGGGGGGGGGGAATTGTAAGAATCTATGGGTGGGTACCACACAGAGCAAATTACAATTTCCTCCCCTCCTTGTCGACGTTTTACGAGTGTGTTTTGTAATAGGTTTGAACCTCTCTGCTTCGACAGTTTCCACATGCCTTTGGAACATGAACTTGGGCATCTTGAGCTCAAGATTGAACTTAATCCGGAGATTCTCGCTTTGCTTTCGTGCAGCACAAATGGCTCAACCGAGATCAACCGAAAGTTAGAACAACCGAAAGGGAAAGGGAGATAAAGTGGAGGACTCGATGCTCTTGTCTAAACATGGTGTCCCTGCCACTGGAGATTACAATTCTACCCTAGACATCCTTGAACGACCTGTACTTCTTATATAAACTGTTGGAGCAATGCTTTCTACAAAAAACATGCGCAACACACACTGTATAGTGCAAACAAATGGCAACCTTACATGTATCTGGTAAAGCTCTGAAGCCCCTCTCTCTTCCAGATATGTTTAAGGCCACTGCAACCTGGGAAAAAGACTACACGGAATGTATTTTAGTGCGCCCACAAGTCCATATCACAATTACAACCTTCTTCTCCGACTATTGAAGCTCGTAAGAGAAATGTTGAAGCCGGAACATGAAAGGAAAACACTGCGCAGGGTGTACCATAGCGCAGCCAGAAAAGCTATATTACAATTGGTCAATTGGTTCCCCCCCTTCCGCACTGGTAAGGTCCTCCCACAAATGTTGAGGCAGGCACAGCCCAGGAAAAGCACCGCACAGTGTGTGTTTAGTGCACCAACAAGTCCACATAACAATTATATAGAACACCCTTCTGCCACTTTTCAATTTCGTCAGAGAAATGCTGAAGCCAGAACATGAAAGGCAAAAACACTGCACAGGGTGTACCATAGTACAGCCAGAAAGCCATATTACAATTAGTTCCCCCCCTCCGCATTGGTGAGGTCCTCCAACCAAGGTTGAGGCAAGGACAGCCCAGGAAAAGCACCGCGCAGTGTGTGTTTAGTGCACCAACATGTCCACATAACAATTAGAACACCCTTCTGCCACTCTTCAATTTTGTGAGAGAAATGTTGAAGCCAGAGCATGAAAGGAAAACACTGCACAGGGTGTACCATAGTACAGCCAGAAAGCCATATTACAATTAGTTCCCCCCCTCCCGCACTGGTGAGGTCCTCCAATAAATGTTGAGGCAGGCACAGCCCAGGAAAAAACCCACACAGCACGCACTACCTTAGTAGAGTCTCCAATGACCCTTGTCCCAGAAAAAGATGAAAGAAAACACCTTCTTTTACGAAATGTGCCTCTTTTGTTTGCGCCCTGTCACATCCTCCTTGGACTGTGTCCTGAATGAATTGAAAGGCGACTTTTTGCGTTTCACTTGAGCAAGATTCACTCTGTTATATTATTGACCTAGTGTACCCAGCAGGAAATATTACAATTAGACTGCCTTTCCCACTGGCCAGAACCTTCGGGCGCAGCCGCTACATGCCAACACTTCCAAGGGAAAATGCGGCACAGTGCAAACTTGTGATCAACCGAAAGGGAAATTGTAAGTTACATTTTTGAGGGTGAGGTAGAAGCATGGACCCTCACCCTCAAAAATGTAACTTACAATTATTGAGTGCGTGCAGGCCGAACGAACACACACGAGGGTCAAAAATGTAACTTACAATTTTGACCCCTGTCTTGTGAGATGGAGGTATGTCAGACCTGTATGTGCAAATTTCACCGTTTTCCAAAACCTGCATTTTGACACACCCGAAATTGTAAATTACATTTTTGACCCCCCCCCGGGGGTAAGGTAGTAGTGATGATGTATTCATGTTTTGTTTGGAGGGCGAGTGTGGCAATGTCTCGTTTGTGTTGCTCATCATGGGCGGCAATTTCACTCAACCTATGCCGCTCAGACCGTCTACCAGGTGCAACAGTGCAACTGTACACCTTTGCAATGCATACTGCTGGTTTGTGGTGAGTATGCTGTAGTTTCTTCCAGTTCCTGGGAGACGGCACCCAAGGAGCCTCCTAGCCACCTTGAACCACCGCTTTGCCGTCATCGGCGGGGTCGTTTACCCCGATGCACGGCCTTTGTTGACCTTGGGCCTTGAGACTCGGCAGAGCGGTCCGACCCTGAAGAGCCGAGGGCACGGGATCCGACGGGATGGCCAAAGTCCAGCTTCTTGTTACTACTAGTAACAAGTGCCACGCTAGTAGTAACAAGTGCCCTACTAGTAGTAACAAGAAGCTATTAGAATTACAGTATATTAAATTAATAACTTCTTGTTACTACTAGTAAGGCACCTGTTACTAGTAGCGTTGCACTTGTTACTAGTAGCGTGAGAGGTCCGGAGCCTGGGAGAATAGCCCATTCGTTTTATGATGTTGATTGCGAGCTTAATGTAGTGTTAGACTGCTAGACTTCATCGGAGCTCATCCCAGCGTTGGTGCTTCACTGATGCCCTGGGGAGGTGCCAGCCAAGGCAGGCTAGGCTGAGCGGTGCATCTTGTGTGTTTTGAAACGGGTTGGGCCCAGCGTGTCTTTTGTCAGAAATTGGCTTGGGATGCAACCATTGTCTTTTCTTGTTGGCTAGAGTTCTTTGACTGTGATGAAACTGCATCTGTTGGGAGACATCGAAGCAAGTCTTGCTAGAAGACTTGTACGAAGTGGTGCCATCAAATGTGTAATATGATCACCTCGGAATGCCTGGATACCGTTGGCACACCAATACCAAGCGGGTGAGACGGCTGAAGTAGACCTTCATGGATGGCCACCATTTGGAGGAAGGAAACATTGTGAGACTTGGAGAGGAGCCCTCAGCTGCCCAGGATGGCGTCACCAAGCTATGGCATTTGGAGAACGGAGAGTTCATTTGTTACCCGGTTGAGCGCGAGCACTCGAGGTGGACTTCGTTTGTATCTTGTAGTTGTGGGGTGCGGGGATCGACTAGTGGGGAGACCTCAATCCTTAGTTGCCCCATTAAGGACAAAGTGATGAGTGGCATTTTGGGAGAAAGGATGAGAACACGGGCTTTGGGACGTTCTTCTCCCGCTGACTCGTCGGATGGTTCTTTGGGACGTCATGTTGAACACGGGCTTTGGTTCCACCGATTCTGGGTGTTTTGTCCCGCTCATCGGGCGAAGCCTTCTTGTGAGACGAGCACCACTCACTCATCTCATGGCCTGTGGCCACCCTCCTGTGGAGTGTTTTTATTACTAGGTTCAGGGCCATGTCCCGGAAGGGATTGATGATCATGTGATCACATGGAAAGGGGGACTCAGGCGGGCAGAACTCTTCGCAAAAAGGAAACTGCGGGTTTGCCAGAAAAGATCCCCGTCAGACCCAGCAATTTGTTGACTTGTCCTTAACCACTGATGCGTCATAGCTAGTAAGTGATGCTAATGCTAACTACATCGTTGTCATGGACACGTCATTTACAACTTCAGTTGCAGAAGTTATATGTCAATTTCGGCTACTTCCTAAGTTGCACTAAACAGCATGTCCAATTACTAAGCGTCATGAGCCATTAAGTAGCAACTTTCACATCAAGAAAGCCTTTTGGCGGACCCCTGTACAATGGATTAGGGGTGCTTTCCATCTTCCTCCAGTACATTCAGGCTGTTCTTGAAGAAACTTGGGAGCCTGCAGGCTTCCCTTTAAAGCTCCTTGATCCCGAACAGAAGAGTTGTTTGCCATCGAAGGTCAAGCAGGTACAGGGCTGAGTGCCTTGACCATCTCACGCTCCTTGGAACTGATCAGGGGTAGATGAGAAGAGTGCCGAAGCTGGGGGTGGTAAACCTGGAGTGATGAGTGGTGCAAAAAAGTAGTCAGCTGCCAGGTGTGTCGTTTTTTGTGAGGGTTGAGAGTCCTCTTTGTGGGAGATTTGTAGCGATATTCTGTGACGCTCACATGCATCCAACCAATCAACGCTCATGACATCAGCAAGGGCTGGTTGCGTGGGGCAGCTGATCTAATGTCGATTAACCCACTACTCGACAGTGCTTTTCAGCCTTCAGTCGCACTGGCAGGGCAGACTGCCCGAGAGAAACCTCCTTGCAACGGACGCGTCTCCTAAGCGTGCCTTGTTCTAGCGACATCCTCCTTTTCTCATGCCTCGATTGATCTCGATTGTCTTTTATGTTTTGTACTCCCGAATTTCCGCTTGAAGTCCATCCGTGGGTGCAAAACGCCATGTGGATGATTATAAAAATAATATATATATATATTATATATACTTCTCTCATCTTCTCTCAACGAAGCTGTCACACACCTACCTCCATTTGCTCCACCAGTGTGCTCAAGTATGAACCCAGACGTTTGGCGAAGTGAGATTGGCCGAAGACCTTGAAGACCGCGCTAATTTGACTGAATTTGTTTTTGGAATTTAGACTGGAGCTGCATTCACTCCATTCACCTTGCAACCAGTGGAAGGTATATGAACGTACAATTATATAAGCCATGTTTAAATCGGGTGGGCGTCCTTATGTGCTTATCAGGTACCACTTGTGGACGGATAGAACCAGTGGTTCTCCGTCAGAACCAGTGGTGATACACGATGGACTGCACACAGTAAATAATTAGGCACGGTGCTAGACCCATGTTCATAGTGTACTGCATTCACTGAAGGTGCAAACCATACCCAACTAACTGATCAGTGTCCCCTTGATAGTCCCACACTTGAATTTTGATGAAGCACATTGTATATTATAAGATAATTTTGTCCGAAGGACTCGACTTTTTCGACACCTTTCGGTGCGAAAGCAGCGAGTAGGATTGTGATTATCACGCAAAGTGGCCAAAAGCTTGGTGTGCACTATGCATTTTGAAGCACCTTCCCAGGAGAGTAGCTGAAAACATTCATAGAGCCATTTTGTCCTTTCAGTGCGCTTTTCCAGGCTTCAGATGGTTTAGACTCTAGACCTACCTCCATGGGCGAAGGAGAGTTCTGGGATGGCCAGCTGCCGGCACAATATCCGACAAGAAGCGGGTTCATATGAGTTTGTATATAGATGTTCCCTTCTAGTGAATCCCGGCTTATAGGCCAACACACTGCCCTACCGTTTTCGCACATGAGAACCCTCAAGCAGAAAGCCAACGGAGGATGAAGCAACACTGTAGAACAAATAATCGTTTTTCAATCTAGTTGCCAGCCTTTGGCCCAAGGTCTTGCCATGTCTTGCCACAGTGAGACACATGATGCCACACTTGCAATGAGAAGATTACACAAAGGAACCGCACCAAAGAGCACCATCTGAATACAGTGCGCCATGGACCTATAAGCTGTCAATCTATATCAATGATCGGAGGTGGTTCATGCATTGTAAATGTTATATAGAACTATATATATACTGTATTTGTTGTTGTGGGGTGTCAGGTTTGGCATGTTGACCCTTGTGTGAACATGTCTAGATGATGTAATTACATTTACATATAATGGATTCCTTGAGGTACGTGTTCATTGCTGTATCAAGGTTGAGCAGGTGCATTGTTTTGCATCAGGGGAATTGTCTTCATTACGCATTCTGTATTCCAGGCGGCCAGCACTTCAACTAGCATGCTTCAGAATCTATTCATCTACTGGTGTTGTGCTGGCTGCTTGTGCGCTTGCTTTTTGACGGAAGCTTCTTGTTTTCTCATGGCACTCACTCTGCGATGTGCTCCTGTTCCGCTGTGGTCTTTTTTGCTTATCCCTTTGGGTGTCGTTGTCCTGTGGGCTTTCCCAAAGACTCAGTCAACACTGGATGCGTGGAGTTCCAAGATCCCGAGAGGTGATATAAATCATGCAACAAGTCCAAAGGACAAGAACACACCAGAATTATTGAGCTTTGCAATTTCTCAAGATGATGTTGGACTTACAAGCAGTCAGACAGAATTGCCCACAGTTGGGGCATGGAGTTCTTCGACTTCCGCGGCAGATGATGTTGCTTTTCCAACAAATCAGCCCACACCTGAAGTGCAAAGTTCTTCAACTTCTGCAGCAGATGCTATTGCTCATACAACAAGTCAAAAGGAGTTGACCACGCCTGAAGCTCCAAGTTCAATAACTTCCATGGCGGGTGATGTGATTTCGCCTCGAGAGGATGATGTTACTCTCACAACAAGCCAGAAAGAACTGTCAACGCTCGAAGCTTGGAGTTCCACGAGCGGGAACACAAGTTCTGAGACTCCACACCGAGGCGATGTCGCGCCTGCCACGGAGCAACATGATGCCAAACCCGAAACCGTGGAAGTGAAGCGCTCTAGACCCTTTTTCCTTTTTTGGACCGGCGATTTGTCAACAAGAGCCGACACCTTGTTCACGCTGGAGCTCGCAATGGAGTTGGCGTCCTTGGGTTGCAAAGTCGTAGTGGAAGGGGTCTCATACCAGGCACTGCCAGCAGAGTATCGCCAAGATACATTTACCATCAGAGCAAATCCTCGGCTGCGGCTGGTTTTGTCGGGGCAGAATGACACTGCATGGAATGCCATCAGTGCAATTGATGGTGAGATGCCTCAGTATATTGTTTGCTTCTCTAGTCTTTGGGCTCCTTTCTTTTTCCAGCTGCCACATGGGTATCCTGATGTTCGTTTGGTGTGGTATTTCTACAGCCCGCTTTCCTGCAACCAATCTCAGGACCAAGGGTGTTGTAAAAGGGTTACCTTTAACACTGTGTGCCAGTAGAAAGCACTTGAAAGCTGCCCCTTGAACTCTAGTAAGCTTTTTGACAAATTGGACAACCGCTGGCAGAACCACTGGCAGACCGGCCGTTTCATCCTGCGAGGAGAGCGGCGCGCTGATCGACCAGGCCCTGGCCAATGCTGACAGAGTGATGTTTGTGAGCCACGCGGAGCAAAGCAAATGGATGCAGCATGACCATGGGCACTTCACATTATTTCGGCCATTCGTACGAAATGCCGGGGCCTTACACCCATAAATTTTACATTCTACACTACAGTTCTCGTCCTCGTCCTTTGATGTATTTTGTTCTTGGATGTTTGCTGCTGTTGTTTGTGGCTGCTGAAGATTCCTGCTCAGGTCTCGGGCAAGTTTCGCAGTGAGGAACTTCGGGATCGTCACAGCATCCGGTCCGATGACTTTGTGGTCACCATTGGGGCGGGACTGCCGGACTGCCCCCGGGGGCATCAACCAGACGTGGCGACTCTGGGGAATATTCTTCGAAACTTCTCCAAGCGTTCCAGAAGTTCGACCTGGATTCTGCTCTTTGTGGACAATGCCAGCATAGAGACCAGTGCGGAACCCAACCTGCCCAATATCCTCTGGCTGGCCCGGAACGAACTGGTGCAATACTTGTCAGCGGCTGACTTACACGTGGGAGCCTTAAGCAGCATTGCCAGGATGCTCAAGTGGTGGAGTTGTTTGCAGATGGGGCAAGCAAACACGATGAGCATGCGCCCATCAATGGACATCATTATCATTCTTGAGCATGTTGTTTTTGTGCCACATTGTGTCTATATACTTGATCATTAGCACATTAGGATGGACAAATAATGTTAGCTTTAGCTTGGACAAGTTGAGAGGCTTTGCTTCTTGACGGTGGTTTCGTTTTGGTGTTTTTGGTGCTGCAACCCCTAGTGGCTCTAGCATTCTTTATCAATTACATGTTCTTTGGTTGTGATTGTTCGTAAGGGTACAGTATATAGTAGGGTGATTTTGTTCTGTTTAAAGTGTGTTCCAAGAAACTGTGCTGGAGTGTCAGCGGCGTTAGTGTCAGGGACCTAGCAGGAAAGGATAGGCCCTACAGTGTGTTCAGAATAAACCAAGGGGCTCGCACAACCGTGCTCGACCTGTCCCACCAAGAATGCCATGCCCCTTGTGTGGAGCAACTCATTGTGTCCATCCTTCACGACGCCCTCCACTGCTAGGTTCTTCAAAGATTTCATGAACAAGTGCATGACATGCTGTGCAGGATGTGAATGGATAGGTTTTGATAGGTGCAGTGTAGAGTGATCTTCACATCTCGTAGGTGAGCTTTGAACGGCCAGATTTTGCTCTTGACACGCTATATGCCAGATCTCTCGGCGTTCCAGTGCTGATGCCCCAGTCAGAACTGGCTTGCACGCGGCTGGGCAGCCAAAGCAAGACTTTACCTCGATTGTTGGTGAGTTCTGAAACAGGTGAACAGCAACGGAGACCTGCACATAAGATAACATAAGCAAGAACATGTGTTGAACTGATCAAGCTGTGTACTTTAACATGCAAATACACTATATGTAATGTAATTTCTATCCTATGCATCATGTATGCATTTTTTTCCTCTTTTACTTTCCTGGTCGGCCTGGTCGGAGACACCACAGAGGACATCAATTGATTGCTTCATGTTGCATAGTTTGCAGTCGTGGCCTGACGAACTGGGGAGAGTTATGAGCTTGAACATCAGTGAGCTCTTTTTAGTGGCCAAAAGAGGCCGGCTGGCAGTACAGTCAGCCTTCAGCGGTGAAGCTGTGACTGCCCGGGTCTCACATTTGCTGAACTTCCTCAAATCCCCGGCAGATTTTCTGAGCGTTGCGGCTGCTCCCAGGATCGGTATTTTCGTCCAGCTGCATTATCTGGAATTGTGGCAGCATCTGAATCCCTGCATAGAAACCGTGCTGAAAGCTGCGAAGAACCACACGGTGGATGTGATCCTGACAACAACCCATCCTCTGGAGGACCTCGCTGATTTCCTTCCAGCTCTTCATGCCTCAGCCCCTTCGGCCTTGCGGTTCAGCGTGCTTTCACGTGCCGAGAACCGAGGCGCAGACATCGGGGTGTTTTTGCAGCAACTCCTTCTTGCACGTGAGCTGTCGTTGGGCACCGACCTCATTTTGAAGTTGCATAGCAAAGGGCATGGCCCTTGGAGGAAGTTGATGGTGTCAGATCTGTGCGGAAGTGTTCAAATTGTGCAGTCGATCGTTGACCAGTTTGTGGGAGACCCTACGCTTGGCATGGTAGGTCCGTTGAACTTCACCTGGACAAAGCAAGGGCCCACGGGCCATGTCGCGTTCGGGCGTGCACCATTTGGTTTCGAGCCCAATGCCGTGAGGAATATGAGAATCGCCTGGTCATTCATGAGCAGCAGGGACTTGCCACCAAAGAGTGCCTGGACGATTGTCGCGGGATCTTTCTATTGGGTGAGGGCAGGCCTGATGGAGTGGGAAGAAGAAGTCCTTCCGAGAATCTCAGCACTCTTGGGAATCATGGGCGCCTACAAGACCAACTGCTGCCGCACAGACGTTGGATGCTGTGTTGCTTATGGCCTGGAAAGAATTATGCCAACTTTGGTTGCCACTAGAGGCAGAGTTGCAGCAGGGCCTGGGAACCATCCGCCTTCAAGAGAACTGACTATGCAGTGGTAAGGCTTGCTCAATGCAGCTGCCTGTGCCAAAAAAGCGACGGGCCAGGTGTCCAGCACGGAGTTGGTGGCTTGCTAGGTTTCGGCTGAAGACTTCGTTATGCCATGTTATGCCTGCCATGTCCCGAACATATCATCCCCAAAAGCAGGTTTGGGAATGTTTGGGTGCAAGTTTCTTCAGTGGGGCACCTAGGACAACCGAAAATAAGAAACCACTTAGCATCACTTAGCTAATTATGTTCCCTCACACTGGCTGATGTCCATGCTTCTGCACATTAAGCCCCCAAGATAGGCCTCAGCTGCTCCCGTCCGCGAGGCTTCCAGGGCCACGTGTTCACTGCAAGCCTGGCCGGTCTCGTGGAGCGCTTCAGCGAGCAGGGGCAGCAGTTGAGTGTTTGGCAGGGCCACATCGGCGCCATCAATGCCATTGTGGTGCCTGGGGCCCGAAGGCGGCGAACTCGGCTTGTACGGAGGGAGACGGGAACATGGCAACATCGTCGTGCGCTGCCTGGGGAAGTGATGGGAAATGGCTCGTTGCGCTTGGTGACTTGTGGGAATAGAGCTTCAACCTCTTATAGATCATGGATAGTGCAGGGAGCGTACAGCGCCTCTGGATCACAGTGTCACCGGATACATTTGGGACATGGCAACAGTTTCTCATTCCTTCACTGGGCAGCAGCGAGCCCAGGTGTTGGCATCCCTGAAGAAAGGTGAAATTTGGTCAGAACGATCATGAACCGGTGTGTGGCATGTTCTCGATGTTTTAGAAGAGGAGGCTTTGTACAAATGGTTGCTTCCATCATTATGTTTGTCAATCAATATTCACGACCTCCGACCTGCTTAGCTGTTTTGAAAGATGTTTTGTCTCGGTCACTTTTTTCCCAGTTGCTCACATACCTTGTAGGCTTTGATCATCCGCCACTCTCAGGTCTTTCCGGACGAGTCAAGGGTTCTGACAGCGGGTGAGGATGGCGTTGCCATCGTGTGGCAGATGTCTGGGAGTCTCTTCAAACGACTTGGGGAGTTTGGCTCTCCAGTCCTGTGCATCTTGGCGCACCACAGTTCACTTTGCAGAACATTGGGGACACCACCTCTCCTCCTGGTATGTTGGAGTCGAGCGTTACGGGGCTCACTGAATTGCAACAGAACCGTTAGCTGCCAAACAACCATTCAGGCTGGCTCATAAGTAGCAGGGCAGCCAAGTACTTGCTAGCTGCTAGTGCCAAGCAACATGTCAAGAGGTGTCAGCGCCTGCCTGGCCTGCCTCCTCGAAGAGGCCAACGAATCCTTGGTAGGGATAAAAGATGATAAAAATAAACTGTTCTTTTCATGAAGGAAATGATGGAACATGTATGAAAGGTCATAAAGTATCCTTTTTGAGGGGTCACCAGAAAAATGCACTATCCTTGGCCTATGACATGATTCTACCCGTGTTTTTGCTCCTTTGTGCGGAAGTATGTGCAGGTAAAGCCGCTGTACTGTATCCGATATCTCCAAGAAATAAGCAGTGTACCTCGCCACTGTTGACTTTAGGGTTGGTCGTGCCATTGCTGAGGGCCGCCAATCCGCATGCTGAGGTGCGGATGTCTCCCCATGTTGTCAGTGGCTACTCACCGGCTGCCGGGACGGGACTGCTCGACTGTTCAACGCTCCTGATCTGCAGTTGGAGAGGTGATTCTTTTGCTTGCAAGCCTGTAATGTAGGATCTTGATTAGCAACCCCCCATCCAGATTCAAAAACCATGAGAAGCATGAAAAACCGCTTCATAATTATGGGTTTATTGATCAAGATAATCAAGATCCTACATTAATTAGTGAATCTGAATGTAGATGCAAGATGCGGTTGTTTTTGCAGATCTAAGAGGGGATCGGCGGAGCAATGACGGAGGCTGGCACTGGCAAGATGACTTGCAGCTGGCAATTGGGACAGAAGGCAGGTTTCCGCTTTTGGACCAGCAACTCAGTAGGCTAGTTGCCATGCACCTTGAGGCTGAATCACTTGCAGCCTCCCCAATATCATGATCATCAGATAAATATATAGATCGATTGTATGTCTTTATTTTTTCATCCCTGTGCGCATTTTCACTGGATAATGCTGGGCCTTATGGCCACTAGAAAATGGTGTTTTTTCTAGTAACCTATATTTGGTGATTTGGAACAAAACCACCCATTTACTATAAATTGCAATGTTGATGAAGCCAAAATAGGGATCATGACCTTGAAGGCCACAAACATAAACATCTTTGATATGTCATTTTTCCACTTTCTAGTGAGTCTTTGTTTTTTTACTGTTAGCCTTTGGAATCTATGTCCTTCTATTTTCTAGTGGGGTGCACGCCCATTTTCCAGTGTCAGATCCATGTCCCGCAATTTAGGTGCTAGAAAATGGGGGACATAACCCCACCTGGGTAATACACACAGGGATATTTTTTCTTTTTATAGATACATTTACAAGACCACACGGCGTAAGGGTCACTGTAGCCGCATTTCAAGTATATAGTTCTTTCCCCACATACTAGTGTGGTGTTCTTACTTTATCTTGGGTCATCCCGCTCCTCCTCCGTGCTCTCCTCCGCCTCCGGCACAGACACTTGAGAAAGAACTTTCAAGGGCATACTTCAAGGTGGTCCCAAAGATGCATTAGCCCTTTACGATCTAGTTAGTGCAAGAACAACCTCTTCAACCTGCAACAGGGCTGAGCAAACGGAAAGGTGAAAAGTCAGCAACAATATGGTTTGCATCACAATAAGGCTGGCTTCAGTGCAGGTAGGTAACTCCAGCGTCCCGGAGTTATATCACAGTGCAACAGATGCGTCGTCGTTGGCTGGAGACATTTGAAGCACACTCCAGCCCCCTGCTGTCATTAAACAGTGAAAAAACGTGCACCTGGAGACTGGGATTGACACAGACACACACTTATTGCCATGCGTACTGACTCGAATGCCACTCGCCACACGACGACCTAGGTAACCAAGTGCCTAGGAGGCCAGGTAAGTTGAAAACCGAAGACATCCAATGCCTCCAAAAACAGTTCAAGTCTCAAGCTCACGAAGGATCCGAAGTGAGTCGTCGATGCACTAGCCCTTTACAGCACTGGACGATTACTGCAAAACACAGAAGTGGAACAGCTGTCCATTACGTAGGTTTCTCGCAAAGCAGGTACGTTGATCCGGCGTCGCGGATCAATATCACCATATCCAGTGTCTTCGTTAGTAGGAAACTGGTGCAAGACTGGATAGGCTGCTTGCACCCCCTGCTGTTGGTAAATGAAGGTCAAAAAGAAAGAAAGAAAGAAAGAAACAGTCCCTGAGGATCCCTGTGACGCCAAGGGGTACACACGCACACGCGAACTCACGCGCACCAACTCACTCACGCGCACCAACTCACTCACACCAAATGCACACACTTAGATATAAGGCTCCCCAGAGCGTAGAGCCCTTTAAATTTAAGTTATTGAAATGAAGATTAGACCCTGACTTGCAGAACGGACGAGCAGTTGGAAGAACAGAAAAGTCCGAAAACACTCATTAGCACTTTGCAGGAAGATTGGAGTACCAGCTTGGTAACGCCACAAAATTCAGCAGGCACGTTTGCATGACATCTTGAATGGGCCTTCGTTGGCCCATGCCGTCCAAGTGTCCTTGGGCCTCCCTGCAGTACATTTCAATATTTAGATGTGAATTGAGCAGTAAAGGAAAGGTGTTAAAGTGTGTGGATCCCTCAGGAACAGGGTTTGACACACACACACACATGAAGCCATAACGGCGCTCCCTTGACTAAAGAGTTTGAAAAATCGCCTAAAAAGCTCAAAGGCAGCCCTAACAAACGAAACGAAAACCAAGAGAGAAAGGTGTGATTGGCGGGGGGAGGAAGAAGGGAAATTCGACTAAAGAGCCTGGCGGATACCTAACAAGCCTCAAGAAGCTGGCCTAACAAACGAAGAGCAAACAAAGGAGAGAAAGGTGGGAGGGGTGTTGTTTTGTCAAAAGGCAGGGCACATTTGCCAGAAGACATAGCCCAAATAGCCGTATCGGCGCTCCGTTGACTCGCAATTACACATAGAGAAGAGAAACCGACGAAAGAAAAACAGCGCATGCGACTTAAACATTGGGAACCGTGGGCATGTCATGACATTCTTTAAACAATGTCAGGAAGCCCTGCGGATCTAGTCAGCAATCTCGAGGAAAAATGATTGATCAGAGGTATTCAAGCAGAACAATTGACCAGTGGTAGTCACCCTTGATGGTCTGCGAGAACAGTGCCTGAAAACAATTCAGACAGTGCACCTCGATGGGACGGCGCTGCAGATCACACTTAGACATAAGGCTCGCAAGAGGTAGTCAGTGTTGAAGATCCAGTGAAGATAGCCCTCTACGTTACTGAAGATTAGACCTTGACTTGCAGAACGGTAAGGCGAGCAGTCCGAAGAACAGAAAAGTTTGAACGCATTCATTAGCACTTTACGGTGAAAACACTCTTTAGCACTTTACAGGAAGATTGGAGTAACCGCTTGATAACGCCACCAAAATTCAGCAGGTATGTTTGTATGACGTCTTGGATCTTCGTTGGCCCCTGCCATCCCAGTGTTCATGGGTGCTTTGCAAGACTGGACATTTCAATAGTTCGATGTGAATCAAGCAGTGAAGGAGGAAAGGTGTTAAAGTGTGGGGACCAATGTGAACCCCTTAGGAACAGGGTTTGACACACAATCACACCAACTCACACACTGCGGACGCTCCTCCCCTGCGTTTTGCTGCTCTGTAGGGGATTTGCTGTTGCTTGCGTCTAGTCTGTGGACAGCACACAGTGTTGCCAAGCTGCGTCTGTGACGTCGCTGTGCCATGCTGTTTACCGGGTCCTCAGTGGAAAGCGCGTTTGCGTGGCTCCGTGCCGTCAGGGAACGGGAAGCATGCGTGCGTAAACGCGGCGGGCGCTGTTGAGCGGGACCCACTCACACCAACTTCCCCACACCAACCAACTTCAACTTGCTCACACTAACTCACACATGCCAACTCATTCACACCAACTTGCACACACCAACTCACTCAGATCAACTCATTGAGACCAACTGACACACACACACATCACACATCATCCTCTTCCCGCGCTTTGCCCGCAAACATTATCCTCTTGATTTCAGTTTTGTGAAAACTGGTCATGTGGGGCTATCCGGCTCTTTATTCTTTTCTTAGTCCCCGCACAGCGACGCAACGCCCCCGACTACAGGGCACCATGGTGTCCAACTCGACCGCCACGGAGGAAGCGGTCGAGAAGAGCCAAGTTGACACTCACCCCGTGCAGGTCGCGGAGGGGGGCTATGGCATGCTATGGCGGTTCTCCGTGGGATGAGATGTCAAGGAAGATAAGGAAACAAAGATAACAAAGTGGAGCAAATGCAAGCAGTTACGGTGGCGACCCAGTTATGTAGCCACGACCACCCAACTCGGTTCCACAACCATTAGCTTGGTGAGAGGAGGGGTCAAAAAGACTGATGACAAGACGCCGCGTGCTCCCCATATTGGGGCCGCAGGTTGATGCGAGAGCCACGGGTCCCTTTAAAGTTGACCTGAACAGTTTGGGCAGGTTGACAGGCACCTGTAGCCGCTGTAGCCAGAGTGTATGATGGACAATTGGGAGCAAGATGGTTATATAGTTCATGTTAGTTCATAGTTCGCGAATGTTTCTAGCCACAGAGTGGCAAGTCTCGGTTGTGTTTATCAGCTGATGCTTTCGCAAGAACAACTTCCCAGGATGCTCTTTGTGCAGGACATCCGGCACTGCAAATTTGATTGCACTTCTTTCAACAAACCTTGCCTCCTGCATCTACTTGCCACAGTTTGGCCACTGTAGAAGAGAATGTTTGGTTCGGGAGGTGTACCATATATGCTTTCAGTTTATTGACCACCCAGGCTTGCTGCTTTTGTCCGGCGGATTCCTGCTTCGTTCTCGCCGGTGCCTTTGGGATACAAGTTTGGCACTTCCCTACAGTGGAAACCATCGACTGAGTGCTGTGGATTCGGCATCAACTGGAACCGCCGTGCTTGCGGCTTTGTAAGCTTAGGGCCTACTTAGGGTTGCTGCAATTGCATGGCCTGTTCAACGCGAAATGCTGTCCAAGTGTGGAGGTTGCCATTGACCCCGCACCCTCAGCCAAAGTGTTGGGGCCTGACTGGGACTGACCAGTGCCACCGTCAGAGCAAATAGAACGAGTTGCTATTCAAGTTTTGTTTGGTTGGGAAAGCGGTTTGCTTGAAAATGCGGGAAACTTGAAACAAAGGTCCGTTGCCTATCGTTTTTTGCATGTCATGCGTCCTGGTTGGGTGCAGTTTCATCACCCAGGTTCTTGAGGCTCCCTTTTCTGATGATCCCCGACTCCAGTTAACAGCCCAATCGGATTTTGAAGTGGGATCCAATTGAAGACATTTGAGTCATGATTGCTAAGCTCTCATCCAAGATCAATGCAAACAGTCTAGACTTTATTCAAAGGGCCACTCAGTAGCACTGACATCAACAGCACTTCATACTAATTGAACGGTGGGATGCCTCCCAAAAAGAAGAAGCACGGCTTGCAAACGTGGCTTCTCCCATCGGTGCTCCATTCAGGCTCAGCCGCGAAAAGAAAGCATAACTGGGAGAGAGGACTTCAAGAGAGGCCACCCATCAGTCAGCATCGGTGTACGACACAAAACCACGGAGTCAGCATCGCTCCGCCCGGTCCAACGGGCTGGCCCAACGGCCGGAGCGACATGGAGTTGGAATCCTCGGATCTCGGCCCAACAGCCGCTCAGCAAGGAGATGTTATGTCCAGGGGGTGGCTTTGAATTGGACCGGGCCGGGGGCATGTTGGAGGAAGAAAGAACTTGTAGAGTCTAGGCCGGGCCAGGAAGAAAAAACACGCCTTTTTGCTTGTAACTTGTCAGATGCCTGATGGGAAGCAAGGGTTGCACGGTTGCACGTGTCCATCTGGATTACGGTTTTCTGAAAGGCGTTTCTTGGTGGCACTCGACAAGTTGTTATTGTCATGGTCGGGGGTTCCCATGTTTTTTTAACGCCAGCCCTTCTTTCAGAATGAGAACAGGAACTTGGAGCAAAAGTCAATGCCACTTGGTCGCTGAGGCATTACACGCGCTGCAGCACTTATTTCTGGAGCCACTTGTCTCAAGATTTGAGAGGGCCTGAAACCGGAAGAAGGGATGGTATTTTAATCAAATCCTTCAATGGAAGAGTTCCAACATTTTCTAACCCACAGAAGTTGATGATTCCTTGCTGCTTACTATTGGAGTTTAGGTGTGGAGACTTTGGTACTTTGTTTCCACTAGAATCCGAAGACTGCAAGCAAGTTTTTGAGATACTCTCCAACCCCCCGACTGCGAAGTCATGAATCCTTTCCATTCGCTTTTGAAGTCATTGAGAACTGCTGGGGGCTGCCAGACAATTGGAAGAAGGGTATAAAACAGCAGCACCTTAACTGCCTGGAGTGGTGAGGGTGGAACACTACTCATAGCCTTTAGGGTGTTTGAAGTGGCACCACAAGTCCCACTCAGCCCTGCTCCTCGTGGTGGAGAACCGGCACACGTTCCCAGACCCCATGCAGGTTGTAGGGATATGATTTGATCGCTCCATGGTTTAATCATGTTTAATCAGATGATAGCTCAGATGGTCAATGCATTTGGCAGTAGTGTATGTTGTCCACTCTGGGGAAGTGATGTCAAGTTGCAAAGTTGCATTTTGCTTACGCTGGATGTACACCGCACTGGGATTACTTGGTGAGTTACTTGGTGTCACAAAGTGCTTCCTTGCAAAGGGATTTTGAACATCCAGCTTTTATTTACCCATATTCCATATGTCCCTTGAATTCCCTTGACATTTTATGGACATTTGTGTAACATCGAGCTAAGCACAAGGGCAAGGACATACCCCAATTTTTTGTGACGCGACTTGTTGGATTCACTAGGGCATGTGTGAGTTGAAAAAGATGCCGTGTGTGTGTGTGTCCTTTTGCGTTTCTTTGAGTGGCTGAGGCAAGAAGCCCACTTGATTTCATCTCTACAGGATCTTTTTAAAGATCAGGAGAAGCGTATCGCCACTGCAGTGCTGGCCTCTTGATTGCAGGATTTGGGGATGACGGGGGGGCACCCACAACGTGCTTGGATATGTGGGAACCTGGTTCCACACCGGACTTGCGGACTCTCTCCCGGACTCTCGGGAGGTCCTCGGCCTGTTGTGGTGTGGGGTAGTGACTGGAGGCCAGCCACGAGCAGAATTGGTGGGAGGATGTGGAGGTTATGTGACCCGCGAGGAGAGAGCTTCATCCTGGAGCGGATGGAGCCTGCATGTTCGGCCAGCTAAAGGCTTTCTGTTACAAATATGACAGCCCATTGATCAAGGTTTGAAAATGAGTTCCAGTGTTCTCAGTGTTCTCACTTCGCGGCCCACCAGCCTCGTCGCAGAGTGGCAGAAGATCCAAAGATTGGGTGGTTTCAGCGGATCGAGGTCGGTACGTCAGTATCATTACTGTATATAGCCAGTAAATGCCAGTAGTGGATACTGTACCATTACTGTATCATTACCACAGTATACTACTGGACATATTCGTCAGTATCATTACTCGATGGTCCCGCGTTTTCTTCATTTCCAGGCCGGCCTCGATGGGAAGGCTTCGGGCCGGCCTCGTGGGGGGCCGGTGTGACACGATGATCCGATGGGCCCGGTGGCCGTTTCGACGAGTCTCTTTGGGTTTCAGACTAGTATGTTGGAGGCCAGCGGCCATCGCTAGTGGGTTGGAAGCCATCGCTCTTAGGTTAGAGGCCATCGCTAGTGGGAGGGATGTGCTTGTGCTTGAGGGCAGCTCAACGTTTAGGAGACCATTTTGATTAAGGCACCACTCATTCATGGAAATGCGCCGCTTTTGGCCAAGACAGAATCTTTTCCTTTTGGCCATCCACATGTTTTCAGCCGACGCAAGTTATGCGACAAAGGCTCATAGACCTGAATAAACTCCTCCTCTCAAGGTCTTTGCCACACATTTCCCTTGATATATATATATATACGCAAATGGATCAATTTAATAGGTCCTTTAGACCGACAATTTCCAGTAGCGATTTGACCAATCCCGACGGTCATGTCAGGTGCTTTGGACTTGCCTCTGCCAGAAGAAGTCAAGTGGTTCTGAGACATGAACACACTAGTATCACCATCACACCTAAAGCAGCATATGCCAAGTTCTAAGATATTCGATTACATCCACAACAAGCCAGTGGAGCAACAGAAAAGATGCTGAAAGGGAGACCAATGAAAAGCCACCACGTTTTTCCTCCAAGACCATGATACATCCATGTTTCATTTGTCAAAGGGTGATGCGGCCAACGCTTGACGCAGGTTGGGCACCCACACAGGCACGGCGCCATGCAGTTTCAAGGGTGGGTGTCAGGTGACCTACCCTGGTCGTGCATTCTTGGTTCCCAAACAATGTGTTGTTGCGCCATTGACATGCCTAGCTTTGCGCTGTTCCCCAAGGGCCCGCATGTTTATTGACATGTAATTATTCAGGTGTTCAGGTAAACGTTGGGCCTTTTTGCTTTGCATTTAGACTGCAAGTTTCCCCACTACCCATTACGGTGAGTTGCTGACCCATAAGCAGAAGCCCGGGCTTAGGGCGTAGGGAAGAGAGTGGAGGTTTGTCGAGCGGGGCTATAATTTTATCAAACTATCAATCTATGGCGCGGGAAGAATGGGTGATCTCCAACAAGGCCCACAGCTGACTGATCGTAAGCTGAATAGTGGTTGGCTGTTGAATGATGCCTCCGCATGTTTGGCTTTTGGGCTTCAGGATGCTCCTATGCTTGCAGCGCACTGTTGAAAATCGAAGCCTCTATATCACACATTCAAGTTGAAGTGGAGCTGCCTTCAGAAATCAAAGGAACGGCTCCACCGATCGGTTTTAGCGGTTTTCCGCGCGAAGGTGCGAGGGCAACCTCAAACATGTTTCAGCGTGCAAATTCAAGTGCAAGGGTCGCAAAGCCAAGCGGCTGTTCAGAAGAAGCCCCGCACTCGGTCCAGAGCAACCTGTCTAGGGGAAGCTCCAAGTTAAGCAGAACAAGCTCGCCATCCAACGTCAGTCATTCCACTTTCAAGCTCATGAGCGATATGGGCGCTGCCATGCAGACGGCAGCACAGGAGCGGCGCGGTTCGACTCGAGAGCGTTCGGATGTGGCTGACCTGGAGAAGCAGTTAGTTCTTTGTCAGCAGTTCATGTTCAAACATGGGTGTTGAATGTGTTTGATACACTTCATCACGCTCGAGAAGGTGGTTACGTTGCTACTAGTACACGATGTTGACTCATGTTTGACGCAATGTGAGTGTGGAATGTCCGAGGTCGATCTCGAGGGCAGAGATCCCCAAAGTTGGCAGTAGTTTGAATATTAGAACGGGAAGGGCCCATGGTTGCCTGGGACTTAGCATGACCAGGAGGTTTGTTGAACTGGGCCTGTAGAAGGGTGATGCCCAAAAATGCAGCTTGTGGCTGCCTAGCTTTACGAAACCCTTTTGGCCCGTCGGAGTGTCGTTTCACGCCCACGAACATGTTTGGAGACGTCTGGAGAAAGAGTCAAGAGGAACTTTGCTGGTGGGTCTCCGGACTGACGAACGACTCACATTCAATGGAGAGTGTGTCAGCATCACAGCGAGTTGTGCGGCAAGAGCACCCACGCCATTAGGAGCCCATGGAACCCATCAGGAGCCCCAATCTCAAAAACATTCAGCTGCGGGCTGCCTGGGGCTCATAAGATTTCATATGGCTGGGTGAGCAATTCCTCAAGGACACCTTTACAATCCTTTACATGCCTTTACTAACCTTTGCATTTGGTATGTTGCCCACTTCGCCTCATGAGGGGAGTTTGTTCCTTCTTTGGTGATAGATCCTGAGACATGTCATGACTTCCAGATGTCAAGTGATGTTCACAGTTGCGAAGCTCGCTCAAATTTCGGGTGACTTGGGCAGATGCTTTTGGCATTCATCACGCCGGAGATCCCACCTTCAAAGGTAGCAGCTAGTATCAAAACACCCAGCTACTTGGAATCGTGCCCAATGACGTTCCACCAGCTCAACTTGCGCCGGTTCCTATCGCAGCTACCCAGGTACAGAACCAGTTGAGCCCCCTCCCGCGAAACAACAGCTGGAGTGGCCCTGCCATTGAGAACTCCGACATGAGCGCTCGAAGCTTGGGACGCAGAGATTGCAGAGATGCACTGCCGACGGCTACCAGAGGAAAAATAGTCTCCAGGAAAAAGTTATTTGTGCGGGAAACGTTCATTTATTTGCGCAGGAAAAGAAATAGTCTCCAGTTGACCTTCCCAATGACAAAAACAAATCTCAACATGTACCTATGCCTTCAATGGCTGACAGATATTGAAACGGTTCCTATCCTATTGACAGCTGGGCAGACATACAATTCTGTCACCACTATGGTGGGTCCCTCGCGTTCAATTCGCTAGCACTTTACATGTTGTCCCAGATAGATTTTTTGGGGATTGGTGCGTTCACTGCTTTGATACATGTATACATACTACATAATGCGTATACATATACATATATATATATATATATTTGTAGTTGTATATATAATCTACATGTAAAGTTTATGTATAGAATGGTATATATATATGCTATCCCCCCAAGACCTACCTTTTTGAGCTTGCCGGGCATATTGTGAAGATGGGTACAGTTGTGGGGGAAGACCAGTTAATGTAATAGTGTGTTGATTGTTTGGCTCTACAACTGTTGCAGGCGGTATGTAATTTCTTCAGGAAAGATCTAATGTTTTGTTGTTCTGACATCCTTTGAAATACTGTATAGGGGTATCCATTACCTAGTATATATATCAACTAGTTCCTTAAATACATGTTCAATCTATGTTACACAGTAAGCACTTATATGTTGTAATTATTCATTTGAAACTACTATTACATCTATGACAGGAAACTGCAATTGATACACTACCATTTTTTTGCATATCCACACCACAGTAATTACATTGTTTGGCTACATTTTCCATAAATAAACCTTCGGACATTAGTATAATTTTCCTTAGGTATATATTTTTTTAACCCTGTCTATCCTATATTTTATATTGTTCAACCCGCCTATTACAATAGTTTGTGATACATTGTTGGCTAAATGCATTTTCAGTATCATCACTGTATTTAAGCAAACTTTACTTTGCCTAAATTCCTGGCTCGTGCGATTGCCGTCCAAAGCCGCTAATATCACCATCTATGCTAGTTATTACCTTGGGCAGAATGACAAGTTAAGCATGAAGCAAATATGACTTTTTCCATACATAATCCTTATTCAAGCCCTTAACCTCCTGACTTTCTACACTAAAATGTACCACACACCGCTACCGCCGCTACCATTATCCTTTGCAATACTGTTTAGTAGTATCCATTACCTAGTATATATCCCCACTAGTTCTTCAAATGTTCTTTACAATAAACATCTATTTTACTTGAAAACATCTTGACGGTCTCACAAGAGAAGACTTTAGACAACTGCCTTTGAAACGGGAGTTTCTTTGGCAAGTGTTTGTCAATGTGACGGGCTTTTTAGGATTCAATATTCTGGAGAAACGTTCTTGAATGGGCTTGGGTTCAAGAACTTTTCCCCAAATAAAAGTTGCATATTTCACAAAAAATAGGCTCAACATTCAAGATTCTGGGGAGAAGCCAGCCAGGGCTTGGATTCAAGAACTTTTCGCCATAATCTTGAATCTTAAATTCAGAAACATGTGTTTACAATTTCTTTTGGGGGGATGTGCTTGCGCACCTTTTGGGTTTCGACGCGTGTGTACGCAGTATTTGTACATATATATATGTATATGTGGCAACCCCGCGCTCCCTCTAAGAAAATGACTTCAAAATGTCAAGAACTCACTGTAAATACAACTGAAATGTGTAAAAAGGTAGGTCTTGGGGACTTGGGGGGGGTATGTGTGTGCGCATGTGTTCGCGCACTACTGTTTTATCAGTTCCTGGCTGCACTCAACGAACTCACCACAAACTGTTAACTTGTCAACTTACCCACGGAAGATCAGCAGGTGTCTCGGGACACCGGGCCCAGACTTCACCACAGAGAAAGCCCTGCACCCATGCTAGCCCAAGTCTAGATTCATTAGATCGGCAGAGAATCTCTTTCAATTTTACCTTGATCTTCCTCAGTCTTTCCAACCGCTCCCCGTGAATCGCTGGTAGTCCTTGGTGGAACCATGCTCGGCTAACGCTCGGCCCCGGTGCTGAGGCCTCCGCGAGCCGGGCGGCTTCCGGCGGAATTTCCTCCACCAGCAGGCGCTGCAGGAGGGACGCGAGGTAGATGGACGTTGGAGTGAGCGGCTCATCGAGACTCGGAGCTGATGGGCGTGAACAAACAAACATGAACAAACTAGTGGCAATGGCCTCCAGCCTCATAGCGATGGCCTCCCTCGCCTTTGTGTGGTTGGAGCACTTGATTATAGTCCATTGGAGTAGTAGGTAGGTAGCTAGCTAGGAAGTAAGGAAGGAAGGAAGGAAGGAAGGAAGCAAGGAAGCAAGGAAGCAAGGACGCAAGGAAGCAAGGAAGGAAGTAAGTATATAAAGAATAGTAGTTGTTGTTGTCGTTGTTGTTGTTGGTGGTTGGTGTTGTTGTTGTTGTTGTTGTGGTTTTTGTTTTTAGCGATGGCCTCCAGCCAAATAGCGATGGCCGAAGGCCTCCGACCTACCAGCGATGGCCCCCAACCTGATAGCAATGGCCACACCAATGGCAATGTCCTCCAACCTACTAGCGATGGTGGAAGGTCTTTAACCTAATCGCGATGACTAGCGATGGCCTCCAACCTACTAGCGACGGCCTCCAGCCTCATAGCCGTGGCCTCCAACCTAATGCCAAAGGGAGTACTGTCTCCAAGATACGTGGCTTAGGTGAAAAGCCATCTGGGCTCCTGGCCTGAATGGCCATGATGGTTGGAGGGATGAACTTGTTCGATACTTCTGTAACTTCGATGCAGCATATGCTCCGTCAGTCCAACCACTCGCTTTCCACCAGCCCTTCCTTTTGCTGAGGACACCTTGGCCGTTCACAGCTTCCAGGTTGAGAGCCACTTCTATGGTTTGGACTTGGATGAGGAACCCTCAGCAGTGAGACCGGTCACCGGCACTGCAGGCGCGGGCACCATTACCCCTGCATCCTTGCACGGGCTGACGCTTATCACGATGTGTCGTTTCTGGTTTCCACCTACCTAAACTGTTTGTTCTTCGCTGCGGACCGTTCCTGTGGCCCAGGTGATTTAAATATCGCCTTTCTGATTTTCAAGGGCAACTGCGGCTGTGCCATCCTGTACATGCCGCGCGGATGGATGCATGGAGGCCTCGTGCACCTGGGCCGAACCGAAGTTTGTGGCGAGGCGACTGCTTTGGTGAACAATTTTGAAAATAAACAACGGCAAGTTGGTGTTGGTATGTGTTGGTGGACATCTACTTTGAATCTATTTGGAGGACAGCTGTGCAGTATCCATCCTTCTTTGTTGCCTTTTCATAGCAGGCTGGCAAGAAAGGTTGCAAATCGGCGCTTGTGCTATCACTCTTGCATTCCCTATGCAGTTATTTGCGGAGCAAGGCCGCCAGTGTTTTCATAATTATTGTGTCCATATGTTTTGCGATGGCTGTAGGGTATTGCATGGCAAGTGGGTGGTTATGGTGGGTCAGACTGCAATGTGGTAGCTATGGATGCTATGTCTTCACTAGCTGAAAGCCGCAAAAAGGAAAACATGTATGTAACAGTAGCAGGCAACTTGACTGAAATCTATCCTGAAACCACTTCGATTTGATGTGTTTAACTTGTCTTTGTGGTGCTTGGCTGAGTTGACTGGTGCTTCAACACACTGCACTGAAGCTCCCGAGGCTTGCATCCATCACTGTACCTATGATCGGATTGATCTCCATTTGGTGCTCCCTCCTTCTCTTGAAGGTTCGCCGAGACATGCAGCAGATAGGCTACGTGGCGGGTAGAATAAGTGGATGGCAGTGCTCACGATGTTTATCGTTGAGTGGCTTTTCCAATGGAAGGAAGAGCAAATGTAGAAGAGTCATGCGCCAATACGTAGTTGGCCTAGTCCATCAAGCATATCCAGATCACCTCAGCGCATGCTGATATCATCCCATATGACTTCAGCTTCCAGCTACAACAGGTGCGGATGCAAGACTCTGGGCATCAGGGCTATGGTGATCTGATTGGGGCGGCCTTCGGCCTCTACGGCCGAAAGTGTGCGAATCTGTTCATCATGCTTTTGCAATCTGGGATTTGTTGCACCTACTTCATAGTGGCCTGCAGCTTGGCAGTGGGGAGACAACTGGGCCTGGATCTTGAATAGAGGGAGAGCTGGGATGAACTAGGACACTGTTGCATGGTGGCCAATGATTCAGCCAAGTTGGACAGGCAATCCAAACTGGTCAGGCGGATGACTCGTGCGACTCTAAAAACCTCCCTGTTAATGTTTGGTTGTGGGCTTGTCATATGAAAATGGTTCGCATAAGCAAAGCCTAGGTGTGCGTAAGGTTGCGTAAGCTTTTTGTGGGAGATAGGAGTTGAGTAAGCTGCGTAAGCAAGCCCAAGTATCAGCATACATGTCATGTCACATCTACACATATTTGCACCGTATATGGTATTTTTCATAAACCATTAAAACATGCAGGATGTGTTTCTGACAAACTGCTTGAACATCCTTAGAAGAATCCGTTCCAGGCTTTTGGTCGCAGAAATCCGCGTAAGCTTCGCGTAAGTACTGCGTAAGCCAGGTTCGCTGTGGAAGACCACACAACCCATTAATGAACATTCCTTGCCGCTCACTGCCCAGCTGCGGATGTAACAGATCTGTTGGACTCAGTGCTTTCCAAGTGCCAATCCTTTCTGCCAGATATTTTTGCCGGAAACGCGGTGTGCGCCGCGGGCGCTGGCTGGAAAACAGATCGCGTGTAAGCTGTGACTGTGGTGTGGCGATAACATTTATAGGCTTTGCGTAAGCTACCATTGTGATCGCGTAAGAAGTGGCGTAAGACAAATCTGACGACATAGCCAGATGCCACAAGTTTTGAGAGCCGCTCACTCGTGGAACCATGTTCAGGATAGCACGATCGAGACGATGGAATTCGGGAGCGTCCCCATCACCCCGCACCTCGCAACGGTCGCAGCGCACGTCACGATGCTGATCCAAGGTAAGCTGCTGCAGAGCACCATTTGTCCAGGGCTGGGGTTCAACATCTTGAGCTTTGGTCCATGAGAGAGGGTGGTCGCACATGCGTGGTAGAGAGTTGCAGGATGGTCACCGGGTAGCAGCTAATTATTAGATGTTGATACTGTAGATTTTCAGTATTGGTGGAGAAGTTCAATTCCTTCAAGGAAAGGATGGAACACTTATATAATTCCGAATGGCTGCCCGACACTCTTTCACTTCAAGATGGTCAAAGGGGAAGTGGATGGATTTGACACATTTGGCGAAACGCTAGCGACACTTGGCCGGATGAGGATTCCTTGCATGGTTCTGGTGGTCCTGCCGGTGGTCGCGATCCGAAAGATCTCCTCCCTTTGGCCTTTGAGTCTCCTGGGTGCCCTGGCAATGGAACTGGGAGCCTTCAGGGGCTGTGCGAGACAGATTGGACAGATTGGGTGATCTCGTTTCTTTGTTTAGGTGCGGTGTGAATGCTTTGGCCAACCAAAGTCAGTTGAGCACCCTTGCAGGCACAAAGCACATCATTGACGACACCTTATAAGGTCTACATCCACATGTCCGAGCCGCATATTATGGTCTCATTGCAACATACTACAAATACGATGTTTTTTTGGAGTAGATGGAGTTAACAATAATACTTCCAGGCCCTCAGATGTTTCGACCACAAAAGACCAATGGCGAAAAGAGCAACTTCTCAAGGGTCGGGCAAACTTCTCTTTTGGACTGCCAACTTGCAGGTACAGCTCTTGTGATCTTCGGGATCCTGGTGGTCTTTGGTTTGGAGCTAGGTGCGCTCGCTCACGAGCAGCCAGATGCTTGGAGAAACTAGCATGGGTTTGAGAGGTTGGGCGCCTTCTTTGTTTTTTGGCGTGTCACGATCGAAGCCTGTGTGACAAGGAAACGAACCCACAATAGATACCATACCATACCGTCGACTAATTTATCCTACATGGCTCTCGGTTTTGGTGCGGTGCTTTGCATCAGGCACCCTTTCTCGTCCGTCAGGTGGTTGGGCGTTTTTGACCTGCCGGACCGAGCACATCCAAGGACGACTTGATTTTATCCAACTGGAGTGGGGTCTTGGTTTGCTTGGGACAAGCCTGCTTCATGTTCGAAGGCTTGGGATTTGCGGGAGCTGAAGCATGCTATTGTGAAAATGACCACGGTATACTATACCCAATATAAGTGAGTCACTCACGCAAGTTGACTCAAGCACTGCCCACATTATCCTGCAACGAATTGCCGTGCGAAGGCATCGGGCTCATCCTACCAACCTTTGATGCATCAAAAAATCCTCAGCACTTTCCCTGGATCTACATCGTCACTCAGACTGGAACGTTGTGTTTGGTTTGCTGCATTGGTCTCTTTGGGTACCTAGCCTTTGGGCCGCTTGGATTTTGCAATTGATGAGCAATAGGGAGAAGACGAGGACATCGTTGCAAGAATGAGGCAGAGACAGGGAGTGAGGGCGAGAGAGAGAGAGAGAGGGAGAGAGCGCCAGTTTGCCAACCTGAGCACCATTAGGTGTTCTTGATGGGCTATTGCGCACGTTGCATGTTTCAAAACAAACAGCACTATTCAAAACCCAAAGGCTGGTGGCGTCGTAACCAGCTGTATTGAACTTCTTGCTAGGTACATCTAGGTACTATGTCATGTGGACCTTTGTCCCATCTAAGACCCCTGCGTTGGTCGGGCAGCTCGCAGCCACATATCCCTGAGGCAAGGCGTACACAACCTGATCCTGCATCCCGGACATTGACGTGCGACAGGATCGGGCAGGATCACCGGTTGCATGTGTCGCATGGAGCCAGCCACAACAAATAGGGCTCGAGAGTGTTTGAGTCACGAGTCATTGACCTGCATGGGTTTCACACGAGAATGGGACCACTGAGAATGGGACTGAGTTTGTAAAGTTGAGGGCCGAGATTTGGGGAGCCGAGTCCACCCCAAAGCGGCTTTGGAATCCTCAGGATGTGTATCTCCGACCCATCCCTCTTTGGATCCTGAAGTTTGCCTGCGGAATTTTTGACAGGCCCCAACACTGGGCTTGGAGATGCTTAGGGCTTAGGGGGAAGATGGGTTAGTCTTGCTGTCACTTGGGAGGTTCCAGACGCCAGGATGAAACAGCCCGATCCGAATCTTTCTACCACGGGGACATGTGTGCAACGGCATTCGATCAGTCATAATGTCAGCCGAGACATGCCTAGCCTAGACTTTGATTGAGGCAATCGTTGTTCCTATGTGTTGCCCCAGTACGCACAGAATCGTAATGAATTATAGCATGAATCACTATGCTTCAATCATATCATATATATATAACACTATATATGATTATATTGTTCAACAAAAGTAGGCCGTGCAGCTGTGGTTTTGTTGACGCCTGCGTGTCTCTAAGGCTCGACTTCCAGCCAAATGTTTTGGTCTTTTTGGTCCGCATGGCCTTCATGATTCAGGTGAGGTGCGGGGAAGGAAACTCAACGTTTTCATTGGAGTGGGTGCCATTTTTCAAACAACGGAGGTGTCATTTGAGGTCACTGTCAGCTCTCAGGTCTATAGTTATGTAGTTCCTTCCATGTCCTTCCGACCAAACTCACCTTACTTCTCACCTCAAAAGCGTCACACCTGAATGTGCTCATTCAGGTCCTGTGCTCCTTCCCACTTCAGATGCTCCCCGCCACACGGCTCATCGAGCTGTCCTTCTTTGGGCCGCCGGTGTCGGACCCGCCCTCCGCCCGGAAGCTGGCCAAGTCCGGACGCTCGGGCCGTGTCCAGGAAGGTCGGCCGAGGCCAAATGGTTTGGAAGTTCGCCACATGGTTTGCCATGTGGCGTTTTGTTTCAACTTGTTCGATCAAATTGGATCAGTTCCTGTATATTGCATTCTGGTTGTATGGGACTTGATGGAGTTGGATCCTGCAGTGGATCTCATCGAAACCGTAGGGACTTCCACAGGGCCCATCCGCGTGTTGCATCAGTGGCCTAGCGGGGTCCAAGCTTGACACCTGTACAGACACATAGTGCAGCTTAGCCTGATCCCATACACATAATATAGCATAGTTACATGAACTGTTTGTTGGGATAGTCAGATGAACCATGATGAACCAAGTGGCATGGGGTGCTCCAAGAAGCTCCCTGGTGGTTGCTCAGGCAGCGTTGCAGTATCGGTATTAAAATCAGCTTGGTGCTGCGGACAGCTGTTTTCTCATGTTGTACAGTTTTCTGCAATGAGGCAATGCACCATGTTAACCAAGTTGGTCCATTCGTCCGAGCCATCCGAAACCCGCGTCCATGGCTGCCACCTGAGGATTCCGCGCCGTCCTCGTGGCAGTGTTTGCGCTCATCGCTTATGCGGGCGCATCGCACTTGGACAACTTTGTGAGTCTCATTGGGGCCTTGTGTGGCGTGCCATTGGCCTCTTGACTTTCTGAAGTTGGAGGGCCGAAGGGTGACAAAAAGTAGCCCGGCGTGCTTCGGTGAGCATACTTAGAAGTGATAGAGGGATTTGGCGGCTCAAATTTGGTCCTTTCAGAATCAGAACTGTGGGGCTTTTTGATCGGAGATGTGCAACTTTCCCATCTCCTTCCCTTCCAGTGGGGTATGGCAGTGGCCCCAGGTGATCGTAAATCAACAAATACAAGAACGTTTTGTCAATCCAAATTTGCCCAAATGAAATCCCAAATCACTGTCCAGGTGAATCCATGAGAGTATTTTGCAGGTTTGCGGTTTATCAGGTTACCGTCGAGCGGCAGGTAACCTGATTAGGTTCCGTGTGGGCATGTTTCTTCAAACCGGGCATGTCATTTGTTTTTGTTCCATTAGGCATGTTTGATCTGCTAGGCATTTATCTTTCCAGCAGCGGCACACTACTTCCTCATCGAGCGTTGCTGCTCGGATCTGCTGCTCATGGCCTTCGGTGTCATCCTGACCGTGCTGGTCACTGCAGTGAATCTGGCAGCCTTCCTGTAGCCGCGTGTGACTCGGGTGGTCACTTAATGTTTCAACAAGATTGGCACTTCGGATGTTGGATCTGATGTTTGGTGTTTGATTGGGCTCCTGTATGCTCCCGCTACAGGATTGATGAAGGATTGGTTTTGAACGATTTTGAGTGTTTACTAGGCTCACAGGCTGTGATGCGTTTTTAAATGGTCCAATTATCTATATTTAGGGACCTTTCTGGAGCATTTGATGTGGCAGCAGCTAGTGGTGTGCCCATCCCATCAACCCCAGCTTGCGAAAATGTGTGTCGTGTCAACACGTCTATCGTGCAAAATGACGTTGAGCAAATGAGCCATATGTTTTTTTGCACTTTTATGGTGGCTCACCGTGCTTTGCTGGTACCACTTCCCGACAAGGACGCAATGAGCTGCAATGCTGGCTGCGCATGGAGAAAACGGGCCATGCAATGCAACGGTTGGAGCTGGCAATTGTGAAGTGGATTCGGTATGTAACTCTCGATGGGGGCTGCTTTCTGACTAGATGAATGTATGCCTCAGTAGCTTTCGCGTCTTGGAATTCTTCGGCCAGGTTCCAAAGGCAAACGACCAATCATCATGTTTCCCAGTCATGACACGAGGGAATGTTAATCAGGTTGAACATGGTTGAACTACATGAGAGGCACCCACCACGCCATTGCCGCCAACCCAACCCCACTAACCTCCTGGCAAGCCTTGCAAGGCTGTCTGCATTGGCGAAGGTTCAAGAGTTAATGAGGGTCGAGGAGAGCGTCGCTTGGTGCCAGAAGATGCCGCCAGGGTTAAGAAACCTACCCGGCCAGTCTGGTCAGTGGTGAACAAATGGTGAACCATGCTTATCCTTTGATCCAATTAGGGATTGGTTTTGCTCCAGCGAATGCACAGAAGGGAAAATGGATCACAATGTTGAGAAGCTGCAGGGGTCACTTTTTCTGGTCACGGCTCAACGACTTGAGTCTACCAGGAAGCCCCGGCCATTTCGTGCGTGAGAGGTTGACTGAGTAGGCGGTGAACCAACAGTAAGATCCCAAGACAGGACACATGTGCTGGAGATCGATCCAGTTTGGGAAGTCTATGCCATGCCATAACCGCAAGCCTTGACACTGTTAGGTCAGGATACAAATGACCTCAAACAACGGGCTTCCCTGGCAAAGCCGGGAATGGCCTGCTATTTTGTTCGCTGCGTTGTGCAAACGCCAGCTCAGGTTCCACAAATCGACTTGCCCCACGTGCCAATGCACAAACAGCCTTCAGATTCGGAGCCCAAGAAGGCGCGAAGTGCAGTGCTACCCATAGACTCGACCAGGTCGCTCATACACCTTTTGCCATGGTCAGGTCACTTGTGGCTTTCTACAGCTTAAAGGCTTCATGAACGGGTTCATCTCCTGACCTGAGGATATCAATCTTTTGTATCTTTTGTATTCTTTTGTCAGGTTGCCGTCGTGCAAGAAGCCCTCGAAGAGGTGAAGGACGAGGCGAAGGAGGAACCTGGGGACGACAAGCATCGTGGCGAGCAATGGAGAAGCGGCATGGGGTCGCCTACTATATAGTAACAAAATGTAACAAAAAGATACTATAGTAGCTAGACCAAAACTCCACTTGTGCACCGATCCTCGCGCCACCCAAGAGCCCTTCGCGGTGTCGGTACGGCGTGCTTTTGGGCAGAGAGTCAAAAGTCAGCCAAACAGGCAAAACCATGCAGAACAACAATGCAACACAGAACTAGCACCCAAACCACCTAAAGAAGATCACCCTCGGCCTTGTGCGTTTCATTCGAGTCTACAATTGCATTGACAAAGCAAGCAGCCTATATATAAGTATGTTTGGTTGGCAAGACCGACCCTGCTGCTTATCTCGGACGGGCTGTTTTCGTTTCGTGGTCGTATGATGTCATGTGTGGTCATCCTCCAAGTGCAATGTGTGGTGGGTCTACAATTGTCCACAGTTTTTTGATGTTTTTTGCTTCCCAGCCCATCCTAGCCCCATCGAGCAGGAAACCCTCCGGTCTTCAGTCTTCAAGCCTGGAAACGCAGTGAATCCACTTGATTTTGCCGGTCCCTCCAAATAGATGACTTCCACCAAATTGTCTGTTTTTTTGTGCGCCGATCATCCCAAGGCACAATCCTCGGCTGCTGCGGAAATCGGTGCAGCCTTTGCATGACTATGCGGAGTTTCATCAGCAGCAGACGCTTGGAACTGGGAAGATATACACTCCGACTAACATGGAAGTGGAGAATGGCCTGTTGGATGAATTATTCTCCTCTATAAGCGGGTGGTTTTCCACTTGCATGTTAGTGAGTCAGAGGGTAGCTTACCTCCCTCCAGCGTCGAATTGGATGGCACTGACCCTGTGGACTTCCATGTTCCGAAGATCAAAGTGACTTCCATGACGACGTTGGAGGGAAGGTGGAGCGGAGACAGCAGACTGAGGATTTTGTTCAATGCAACATGGCAGGTGCATGTGGTGTTCAAGGGGAAGTGGGCTTTGTTGGTGCTCGAAGTGGGTGACACCAACGTGATGATTCATAGCTTCCAGTCTGAAGCGCACCCGTCAGGGCAACTGTGGCATAGGATGGCATAGGCAAAATCAAGTCGTTCTTACTTGTTCATTTCGTGCGGCCGGAAGATTTGAGCAATCCGTTTGTGGCTTTGTCGTTGCAAACCCTACATTGACCAGCACTGAAGTGTTGGGACATGTTGCGGCTTCTGACCCAAATCACCAAATGACCGCAAGAAAACATTTCGAGAAGTGAAAGCTGAATGTTAACGTCGGAAGACGCAGATCCTGATGTTGGAAGAAACCTTTGCCAGGATGTATCATCGAAGACTCGGTGACGAGATTTACGACACAGACAGCAAGTTCGAGGTGCCCAAGCTCCAGGGCCCCAAATAGAAAGGAAATACATTCATTCATGTGATTCATGTGTGTTCTTTTTTTTTATGTGGGGGTCTCGGGGGGGTAGGCCGCTAGAAGGTAAGAAGAGGTGTAGCATGGTAGCTAGAAGTAGAATGGTAGAATGGTAGCTGATAGCTACTAGTAAGCTACTAGCTACTGGACGCAGTTCATTTGGCTCCTAGATCTTTGGGGAAGCTTAACTTCCATGTGTGCAATTTGGGGACACTATTGCTTCATGGCCATGGAAGTGACCAGTTGCGACAATCATCAGGTCTTACCCACCCAAGTGTGCATTGCGGCTGGGGTCTGGGCCACTTTTCGCATGATCCAACCAGCGCCATCACAAGCCTTCATGGAATCAGCTCCAGATCTCAAGCGGACACACCAGTGCCCACTGGTGAACATGTCAATGTTTTGAGTGCGTCTAGTGACTCCAACGATTGCTGCTAGAGTGTCCCTTGTGGCCTTGTGTTGCTGGACTCCTCGCAACATCCGTATTGAGATATTGTAATTTTGGACTTGAACATCGGCCTCGGTTCGCATGAACTTTCTTGCGGGCCTCGAATGCTGCTGTGGGTTGAGGATTGTGGGGTCCTTGATGGGGCTCCACCAAGCAAACTCTTACGTTTGAAGATGTTTGAAGTATGTTGAGCTAAATCCTCCAAGACTCCGTCAAGCAGGCTAAAGTTTGGTATAGATGCCATGTCCATGTATTGCCATGTTATCTATACAAGTTTCGGAGGGTCTGACGGCTCTAAATCAAAGATCAATCCCAATACCTGGCCTTAAGCAATTGCTGAGTCCCGTTGGCTGGCACGCTTTTGAATACCAACAATGCGATGAGGTTCCATTTGTTGCCAGGTAGGGCCATGTGAGTCTTTGTTTTGGACTCGCGTGTAGGTCATGCAGAAGAAGACCCGGAGGTTTCTAGACTCTTCCTTGCACCTTGGAGAGAAGGAAGAGCCGCTGGCTGGCTCGAGAAGGAAGCTAGGGATGCGTTTTGGAAAATCTACCGGAAATGAGTTTGCAGTATGTTTGCAGTTCCTCTGTTGTAATTCGGTCATGTCCAGGTCTTCATGCGCTACTTTTACAGTAAGCCTTCCTATAAACACAAACCGCCTCAAAGAGAGCTTGATGGATTGCACGACGACACCGGCATCAGTTATCGTCGTATCGTTTGTTCGTGGTCCACAGGATCCAGAAAGGCAAGCCTTTTTTTAACAAACATCAGGCGACCTATTTATGCCCCCCAACATTGTACACAGCAAGTCAGCTGGTGAAGATGTAATGATTATATATTGATATACTGTAGGTATATAATATTATAGTCCCGTGATGCTTTTCCCAGCACTCAGGTTTGGCAAACTCCTGGCCTCTGTGATCCTTTTGAACTGCGTCAGTCTAGGCGGGGGCACTGGGTACTCAGGGCTTGTCCGCAACTGCAACGGTACTTGGGTAATGTCCAACTAGGTCGGGTGTTTGAGTTGTATACAGTTGTATGAACAGGGAGCCAGCCCGCTGCTGGATCAAAGTAGGCTTTGATTTGTGCTGTCCTTTCGGCAGGCTTTGATTTGTGACTAATTGCTTCTTGTTTTTCAATCCTACGCTTGCACGTGTCCCGGATTTCCGGTGTTGCATGACACATGCCTCTCAATGCTGTACTTTGTAAACATTGTCCATGGTGCACCAGATGCACAAAAATGTCTCCAGCACACATGCCTTTGGAAACACACGTAGGTGATTGTCGCTGTTGGCATAGAGATGTTCCGTAACGTGCAGCACGCCGCGTGAGTTCTTCCTGTACGTATGCGGTCTGGCCTGTATAGTCCCACTTTGCTGACTTTATTATATATTGAAGCATTGTAGGACCAATTGCTAGTAACATCTAGTGACGAAGCATTTCCTGTACAGATGTGTATGGCCAATCATCCAGCAAGCTTTCACCTGACCATGGACCATGCACCTGGGACCAAGCTAGAAGTGGCAGGAAAGAAGAGAACATGACTTGGCATGAGGGATGTGAAAGGCTTTGAACCCTCAACATCCAGACCCAGGCTAGGAGATCCACCTTCCAAACAACCCCACTGTGGAGCGCGTGC